ATTCTTGCAATCGCTTTGTTAAGGAGAACATTTGTCCGAGTTCGCTCGTTTTGAACAACCAATGGACCTTGACTTGATAATTAATGACATTCAAAATAAGCTTTGTTTCTAAAAGTAATAAAATTTGTTTATGTCTAAATTATGAGTCAGTGTGTGTTTGTCTCTGTCTTAGTCAAGATGGGGCTTTCTCTGTCTTTGCTTCGAGTCGACTTTTCTCTGTGTCGCGCACAAGCCAAAGCATTGAAAGTGTCTTCAAGTGAAATGGAAATGCTTCAACAAAAAGTTAAAGATCTGCCAGGTTCGAGTCTGGAAAAGTTGAAAAAACTCCACTCTGAGGTCTTTTCAAAAGTAAACTGGGGACGATTGGTGGTATTTTTGAACTTCGCGGATCAGCTAGAACTAACCGAGGAGGAATGGGAACTATTATTTAATTTTCTCGTGCCCACTCTTACCCAGATTCGAGAGTACCTATATAAGTAAACACGAAGAAAAAAGAAATCATTCAGCTTTGAACCTTCATAGCAATCACTAGTAATGGGTTGCTGGCCATCTTCACCCTCTCTGGTATTAGAACGCATTTTCAACCGCATTCGTTGCGTATTAGCCTGTTGCGGGGGTCAAGTTATTGTACAAAATTCCGAGTTCTGTGATGGAGAAAGCACTGACCAGCATTTATCTCGACCCAAGCCAACCCGCAAGTTTCGGTGGTTTAGATGCTGTTTACAGAGCAGTCAAAGAGAAAGGAAAGAACAAGATATCGCGTAAACAAGTTCAAGATTGGTTGAGTCAGCAAGATGTTTATACTCTTCACAAGCCCGCGCGTAGACATTACAAAAGAAGTCGAGTCATGGTTCCCGGTATTGATGCACAATTTCAAGCAGATCTGGTCGACGTTCAAAATCTCAGCCGATACAACAAGGGATATAAATACCTACTGACGTGTATAGATATCTTCAGCAAGTACGCTTTTGTGTTACCTTTGAAGACAAAACAAGGTCAAGAACTGGTCCAAGCCTTTCAAAAGATCCTTTCTACTGGTCGCAAACCTACTAAACTGCAGACGGATCAGGGAACAGAGTTTCTTAATCGCGTGTTCCAGAAATTGCTGCGTGACAACAACATTGACTTTTTTACTGTTAACTCTGGGCTCAAAGCCTCAGTGGTTGAGCGTTTTAACAGAAAATTTAAGAATAAGATGTACAAATATTTCACGGCCAAAAACACTCTCACCTATATCAATGTATTACCCCAGTTAGTATCTTCTTACAATAACACCTACCACCGAAGTATTAAAATGAAACCAAGTCAGGTAACTAAAAAGAACGAAGCTCAAGTGTGGGATACTTTGTATGGGGATGATGTTCAAAAGCCTGTGCGATATAAATTTCAAGTGGGAGATCGCGTGAGGATCAGCAAAGTAAAGAGAACGTTTGAAAAATCGTACTTACCTAATTTCACGGAAGAAATTTTTACTGTTTACAAGCGAATGGCTCGTCAAGTCCCCGTTTATAAACTAAAAGATGATGCAGGTGAAATCTTAGATGGCACATTTTATGAGCCTGAATTGCAGAAAATTATTAAGAATGATGATGTGTACCGCGTTGAAAAGATTTTGCGGAAGAGAAAGCGTAAAGGAATAGTTGAATACTTTGTAAAATGGAAAGGGTACCCAGACAAGTTTAATAGCTGGATAGCAGAAAGTAATATCTCAAAGTTGTAACATTTTGTGTGAAGCCAATAAAAGGGTTATTTTAACTGAAAACAATTGTTGTTGTGTGGTTTCTAATAAATTAAGAATACCCAGATTAAAAAGTTCATTTGAACACACGAAACGATGGAGGTAACACAGTTTTATCTGCACCTCCCTAGCAATAGCAGCCTCGATAAATTTCCTCATAACACATTAACAGAGTACCGAGTTAGTTTACCACAAACCCTAAACCTTACAGGCGAATGGGAAGTGGCTTTGACCGAGATCCATTATCCGCATAGCTGGAATAATATTCAACGGTTTCGATTTTACGTTCGAAATGAAAAACTCCACGGTGTTTGGGACTCCTGGAGATGCTTTCGGGTCATTATTCTTCCATTGAAGATATCTTATCAAAGATGAAAGAGTTAGTGGATAATGAAAATCGGTATACAGATGATGTACGGTTTTCATACGATAATCTCAGCAGAAAGGTTACGGTTCATTTGAAAAACAACGCAGAAGTCTCGTTAAATGATATGGCCTATATGCTGGGGTTCACTCCCGAACAAACTATTTCAAAGACCACCACGGGCGACAGACAAGTGGATTTGGAATACGGTTTTCACGATCTTTTCGTTTACTGTGATCTTATTCAGTCACAATATGTTGGTGATGCACTGGTCCCTTTGCTTCGAATTGTTCCTGTAGAAGGAGAGGTTGGTCAGCGAGTCAGTAAATCGTTTGTGCGCCCTCAATATTTACCTGTCAGCAGAAAGCAATTGGAAACCATCGAAGTCAATATAAAGCGAGACACAGGGGAATCTGTGCCATTTGAGTTTGGAAGAGTGTTGTTAACACTTCATTTTCGTCAGAGTCAACCTCAGTACTTTTAAAAATGAAAAAACTCCACGCCCCGAATCATAAGTTTTACGAACAGTACTATGTAGATCAAGCCAAGCAAAAAGGTGGAAATTTACCCGCATTTCACGGAGCTCGATTTCAGCGAGGTTATGGCTTAGGATCCATATTTCAAGGTCTGTTCCGCTGGGCGATACCTCACCTGCAACAAGGTGCTAAGGTGATTGGAAAAAAAGCTTTACAAACGGGTGTCAATGTTGCCCAAGATGAGCTTGGCGGAGATAACATTAAAACAGCAATCAGCAAACAGGCTAAACAAGCTATAGGTAACATGACGTCCCAGAAGTCACAGCAAGGATAGTCAGGTGCAGGCAAAAAAGCTATAAAAAGGAAAGCGCAAGGCTCAACAATCAGTTCGCCTCCAGGAAAGAAAGCAAAAACATCTCCACAGCAGAAGAAATCGAAAACCATTTTTGATAAAGAATAGAATGGCCTTCGTTCATCACGAGTCTCGCGAGTGTACTAAATCAGAGCTGGATCTTTTTACTATTCCTGCTACACAAACCTCTATTCACAAAGGGCAATGGATTGAATATCATCCTCTCAGCAACATCACGGACACTGGTCCTATTGAATTTAACGTATCTGGAACCGGAGAAGAATATTTAGATTTAGCGCGGACACAACTTTATGTGAAAGCTAAGATCACGAAAGCAAACGGAACCGCGTTAGATGCCGATACACAAGTGGGTCCCGTGAACCTGTTTCTACATTCCCTGTTTTCACAAGTAGACGTTTCCTTGAATGAGCGACTTATATCTGCATCCACTAATACTTACCCTTATCGCGCCATGCTCGAGTCTTTGCTGAACTACGGAGAAGAAGCTAAAACAAGTCAACTTTCTATGGCCATGTTTTACAAAGATACTGCTGGAAAGATGAATGTAGTGAACCCCTTGGCTGCAGACGATGAAGCAAACCTTGGATTAAAGGCTCGCTATGAGTTTACCAAAGAGAGTCATACGGTGGATATGATGGGACCCATTCACAGTGATATATTCTTTCAAGACCGGTTGATGCTCAATGGAGTTAATTTAAGAATCAAACTGAACCGAGCCAAGAATGTGTTTTGTCTTGTGTCCTCAGCAGCCGGAGCTAATTTCAAAGTGGTTATCACAGAAGCCATCTTGTTTGTACGCAGAGTCAAGGTTGCCTCTTCTATCATTCTAGGCCATGCAGCTGGGCTAAAACACTCCAGCGCCAAGTACCCCATTCGCAGAATCGACTGTAAAGTGCTCTCTATTCCAAGAGGATTTAGCAGTTTTAACCCTGACAACATCTTTTTGGGTCAAATTGCCAAGCGCATAGTATTGGGATTAGTGGACACAGAGGCTTACAATGGGAGTTACCGTACCAACCCCTTCAACTTCAATCACCACAATTTAACTCAAGTGGGTGTGTACGTGGACGGAGAACAAATCCCCCGAAAACCTTTGTTCCTGAAGTTTGACGCCGCTGGTGGTCAAAATGTGATAGCCGGCTATCAAAGTCTTTTCTCTGGTATTGGAAAGCTTTCCCAGGATACGGGCAATCAGATAAATAGAAGTGATTACGGCTCCGGTTATACCTTATTCGCATTTGATTTGACCTTAAATCACTGCCCGGGAGATCATTTTGAGCTCATAAAACAAGGAAACCTGCGCTTGGAGCTTCATTTCTCGGAAGCACTCGCCAACACGGTCAACCTTATCGTCTACGCTGAATTTCAAAACGTGATTGAGGTCGACGCAAACCGAAACGTTCTCTACGACTACACAAACTAGAAATGGACACCATTCAACTGACCCTTATTTTGAGAAAGGATAAATTTACCCGAGGTGTGTTTCAAGGCGTGTATCCCTCAGACAAGCTGCCTGCGAGTGTTTCGCAATACCCAGCCCTATTCATCGCCAATGTGGATACGAGTGACAAGCCAGGTTCGCATTGGGTGGCGTTTTATTTCGCCAAGGAGCAAGAGGGAGAATTTTTCGATTCTTACGGAGCACCTCCCAGCAAATATTCAGGAACATTTACTACCTTTTTAAACAACAATTCTAACCAGTGGATTTTTAATACTGTGACATTACAGAGCATCTATTCCAAAGTCTGCGGACATTACTGTTTGTATTTTGCTTTATATCGTAGTCGGCAAATAAGTATGAGTACAATTGTGCATCGTTTTTCTAATAACACACGTAAAAATGATAGTCTTGTCAAGCGATTTATTGAAAAACATTTTCCTATAAGTCTTCCGAAATATCGCACTGATGTAAACAAGCAAAGAGCACAAGCCCAACACAAAGTTCAATAAATAAACACCTTGTAATTTCTTTTCAACATCTTTTATTGAGTGAACAAAATAAAGAGATGATTTACAATAATAATAATAATAATGTGTCTTGTGGTGATTTTATAACCGTAACCAGCGCACAGCCTCAGGGCGTGGACTCGCATATCTTCGCCGCTGTTTTTTCACTGGGGATACCGTCACAGGTGGGCTAGGTAGCCAACGGGAAGGACTGTTAGGGGTTTCGTCTCTCACTCTTGCTTTAAATTCTCGAACAGCACTTTGCCTCTGTGGATTACGAGTAGTATACATGGCTACCCTAGGTCCTAACCAATCAGAGCGCAGCAAATTTCGTCTCGACCAATCAGAATCGCGCATTTAGGTCAGGTGACTTTTTGACGTCACAACCCCATTGTTTTAACCCACGTGACCCCCTAGGAATAAAGAACACACGCACACAAATAGTTGAATCTGCATTCTTAGCATAGTTTTAATGACCGCGTAAAACCCTGGATACAAGTGGGACGTGTGTGACGCCCTAATAACGTCACGCCCATTACAAATCTAATAGCAAATCGAGTTCGTTCCCAATCCTCTGGTAGCCATAGGGATAACTGGATCGGGTGGCGACATCAATAACGCGCTTGTCGAACACCAACCCATACTGCTTCACGCGCGGAACCACTTGAATTTGTTTTTGTTCCAAATCCCGTTTGAAATAATAAGGGTTGGTCAGGTTCAAATTGCGTCGAGAGTCCTGGGGCGAATTCAATTCAGAGAGAATGTTGTCTTTCATGGTCTGAAAATTGAGAATGGCGGATCCACGGACGTTGAGCGTGAAACCGCGTACCTTGCATACCACTTTACCCTGTCGTGTCGTGTACCCATAATTCTTGGCACCCCCCGAAACAAACTCGGTGATGACGTCACCGTCCAATTCGTCCGTCATGTCCCCCAAAAAATCGCCGATGGCAATACTGGGTTGACCGGGACGCCACTTGTACACGACACTATCTGTATCGTAGTAAAGGACTTGCTGTTGAAGGGTGTCCAGGGACTCGTAGAGCTTTAATCGAGCATGGCATGTAGTGAAAGCGGCCACAAAAATATTGGTCTTGGTGCCTTTGACAGCATTGTCTTGGACACTGGTGTAGACGGCTTCCAAAATATCGTCCGTGCAAAGGCGGAGCGTACTAAGGTCGAGGGCAGCATCCGAGATGAGATTGAACAATTGGGCGGGGTCTTGGACAGTCACGGTGGTGGGTTTATTGATCCGCTCCCCGAATTTGCCCCAGAAGCTGTTCAGCATGAGCTTGGCCGTGGCTTTGCGACCGGGATTTTTGGCAATACTGGCAATGTCCAGTTGGATGCCTTCCCGTTCCTGGTAACGAAGAATGTAGTTGCGTTTTTGCTCGAGAGTCTGACACCAGCCGGGCCACCCCGCGGATTCTTGTTTCAACTTGAGCCACGTGTTCACATAATCAGCAAAAAGACCCGTTCGGCGTTGCTCAGGGGGAAAATGCCAGACTTCGTGAATCTTGATCAGCGTGTACCCCTTTTCGACGGCTTTGACCAATTCGGGTGTGCACCAGGTACCGCGTAGCGTGCGATCCACATCGGAATGAGGGCAATAACGGGTTCGGGTCAACATGGGTTGGGCCTGCTCGGTCTGAACACAGGCACGACAGAGAGGAAACGTGAGCTTGTGGCCGCTACGCACGGGCAGAACAGGATGGAACAAACCAGCAGGGGGAAGAATATCGACGGTGGCTACACCAAAATAGGAGTCCAGGGACTGGTCGGTAGGCTGCGTGATGATCCGCGGATGCCCAATGGGGTAAGGACAGTTCTTATTCACCCACGGGTACAGAGAGGTCACATCCACATAACGTATTTCCTCCCCCTCTCCAGCCACAGCATGCAGAGCCACCGCACCGGTTCGACCCCCAAAGAAGGCTTCACGGGGTTCTAGGGGTGCCACCAAATCGAAGGACGTCAGAAAACGTTGGACGGCTTCATCGGTGTCCACTAATTGGTCCCATTCACATTCCCACATTTCAATGACTGTGTAGCCTGCTCGGAGCAAGGCCGTGCGTTTAGAGAGCGTGGCTTGATAGAGTTCCTCCACGGATCGATCCGGCGTGGCATAATGTTTGGCGTTTCTCGCGGGATAACAGCGGGGACAGCCATGATAGAGACATCCGTGGAACTCGTAGACGGTGCGAGTCACAGGATCGTAGCCATCGACGAAATGACTGTCGACGCTGGTTCGGACCGACTGTTCGCCGCCATTACGAACGTGACGAATGCGATCAGCACTGGCCCCCTCTTTGGGAAGGAGATGTTCTTGGTAATAGAGCCATTGGAGGGCTTTGAGGGAATGGTTGACTTGGGCCCCTCGCCACCCTCCGAGAGGTTCCACTGCAATGGTGTCGGGGGTCAAATGATGCTTGCGCCAATACAAATTGCAAGCACTGGCGATGGTAATGCACTTGGCCATAGGATTGAAGCCCGCCTGTTGTTCAAATTCTTGTTGAAAGGCTTCACACCCAGCTTTCAATAGAGCCACATCGGATTTGCAATACTCAATCATTTCTTGTTGGAAATGGAAGGGCACGTTCCGACGGACTTGATCCGCATGCCAACGAGTCAGTTCCTCTTTCTTTTTGGCCATCATGCCGTCGGGATCGTAAAATTCCAAATCGGGGATGCGGCCCACATACTGTTGGTGATCGGGGGTATTGAACAAATGGGGAAAGAACCCCTTCTTTAATTCGGTCAAATTGAAGGTACTGGAAAAAGAGGCCAGCGGCATAGGCAAGAAACACAACGAGTCGATGAATTTGAGTGGTCCACTTCTAAACGATAGGACTTTGGCGCCCACAGTCAGTTGATCCACCACCTCGCGTTGTTGCTGGTAGAGTTCATGGAGAATGAACATGCCATCAAACCCTTTTAGATTGTGAAACACCACGAGTATCGTTCGCTCGCCCTCACAATCTGGAACATCCGTGAGATCATCCAAATCGCGCAAAAATTGTAGGGCACAGTCCTCCCCCTCCAAGACATGGATGGTGGTGTCTACACTCGACGAATAACATAACAAATTAGCCACAAACACGCCATCTGCATTCTGCATGGCTTCAAAATCTGCGTAAACAAACAGGGGAGGGGGTGGCGCCACCATGCTACCTCCCCCCTCCTCTGTCGGTTCAGTCTCCTCGTGCTCATCCTTTACAGGCTGAATGTAACATTGATGGTTCTGGATGGGTACCCATTCCTGACACGCGGAGCATTTGGCGTACCCACACCGGTGACGTCGGTTGCGAACGACTGTGTATTGGGCTTGACACTTGAGACAGCATTTGATGGATTGACATTGCTTGCTGATTTCATGATAACGTTTGCACTGATGGCCATAAAACTTGCGGTAACACAGACAGCAATACTCAGTGGGGCGGGTGCCACGCACATAATCCGGACAATCAAAACGTTCACACGCAGAGCAGCGTCTTCCTTGACAAGTGTGATTGGTTTGGTCATCGGTGTTGAACCCCCGTTCACAGTCCAAGCAATAATACGAACGATTCACAAAGGCAGGAAAAGACGTGCAACCATCAAAATGATCGTTGGATTTGAGTAAACGAATCTGATGAGGGGCGGTGGGCCCTTTGAAGATTAAAAAGAACGGTTTCATCCGGGTCATCACCAAGAGTTGGTAGTGAGATCCCAAGGCTTGTTGAAATTGGCGAAGCTCGGGTAATCCACAGGGACCCTCAGCGACTCCCGCTTGCTGATGGAGGGCCTGGGCTTGACGTTGCTGCACAGGACGACCACGTTTGAGATTGTCCCAGTCGCGAAACCCGTCCACGCCTTGATCTTTATGGCAATGAGCACGCATGGTGACAATAGCACGAGCACAGCATAGGGTATCTCTGTTTCGGATGGTGACAATGCATCGCTTTTTCTGGTTGACTCGATCCAAACATAAACGGCCTACATTGCGTTGTTTATGTCGACCAGACCCCGGGCCGGGCATGGAGACAAACACCACATCCACTTGGAACCCGCGATCGGGGTTGAAGGCTTCATTGCTGTTTAATTTTCCCGCCAGGGTAGCCAACATCTCATCTAAACGAGCCGTGCGTTGTAAAAATTCCCCCACGGTGAAATTGGCGGTTTGATACGCGTGGGTGAACCCATGCGCTGTAATGGCAAAGTTCACAAAATGATGGGCAGGTCGCTGCTCACGGTCGAGTTCTGTTTCAATGGCTTGATGTAAGGCTTCCGTCAATGCCAGGCCAATATTATCTCCTGGACCAGCATCCCTCAATTGACGCAATTGCGCGTTGAATTGCGCCCGTTCCACCACATTGCGCCAGCGGCGTCGTCGACCAATAGGCTGCATAGTGAATTGAAAGAGAGGGCCTCGGGCGGGAACGGCCCCTCCCAACTGTTCCCACCGGTCATAGGCGCGGTTTAACAGAGCATCCTCCTCGTCACTGACATCATACCAGCTGTCCTCCTCCTCCATGACGGAGGAGACAATTTGAATGTCCCGCGCCAGACGCTGGCTTTTATAGACCCAAAAACACGTGATCAAACGAACGGGGATTGGTGGATAGGGCTCAGGTGAGAGTCAGGTGAGAGTCAGGTGAGAGTCAGATGAGGGTCAAGTAAGGGATGGGGAGGGGTTGATTGCACAGGAGGAGGATTGAGGGGGGTGCCCCCCATGGGTACAAATTTTTCTCAAGTCTCCTCTGAGCCTGGGGTCGAGATCGCTGATTGGCGGAGAGACCTCTAGATATAGGCCAGCGTCCAGACCAGACATCAGTTGCCATCGAGACATGCCTAATCGAGATCCAGAGAAAGTGAAAGAGGCTAAACACCGGTGGTACCTGAAACACCGGGAAGAGATTGTGAAACGGAAACGAGAGCAGCGGGCGGCCAAGAAAAAGCTCAAACCACCCAAGCCGCCCAAACCGCCCCCGACCCCAGAACAGCTGGCCAAAGCCCGAGAATTGAACCGGTTGGCCTGTAACCGGTACCGAGCCACGCACGGAGACCAAGTACGGGCTTTGAACCGTCAATATTATCATCGACACCGCGACCGGCTTATCCAGCAGCAGCGGGACCGTCGTGCCCAGAACAGACAGACGCCCAGTCCCTTTAGAAAATTGCGGGCCTTGGCAGACGTGTGTGCTTCGCGTGTATTAGAGCTGGATCATGGATACGCCAGGATCGCGCCAGCCCCCCAGAAAAAAACGGGACCCTGAGAAAAACAAGGTTCAACAAAAGCAGTATCGGCAGCGCTTGTACGCGGCCGTGAATGGCATCGAGGACGTGAAGGCTCTCCACCGTCGACGCTACCACGAGCGGATGGCTCGTATGAAAGCCAGTGGAGAGTATGAGGCCTTCAAGGCCAAAAAGACCGAGGAGGGGATGCGGCGCTATCATGGCATGACAGAGGAGCAACGGGCTGAAGTGAAACGCAAAAACAACCAGTGCCAAAAAAATTGGATGCAAAGAATGAAAAAAGAGGGGACGTACGAGGCTTACAAACAGCGTTTGAATACGCGGCGGAGGGAGATGGCGGCTGAGAAAAGGCGTATCTTGGGTGAAGAGGGATGGAGAGCCCTGCAAAGTCAACGATACCAGCAGCGGGTGGAAGCCATTCGGCGCCGAGAATGGTCCTGGTTGGACGAGGAATTAGAGCGTCCCTTTCCCCTCCCGTGGTTGCCTTTAGACTTGTCACAGTCCGGCCCTGAAGAGGACAAAGTGCAAACCCTTCGCGCCGAGGCGTTGCAAAATATACAAATGTATTTGTAAGAAAAAACAAACATGAAGTTTATTAAACCATGGTGTCATTTAACATGTTGTCTTTTTTATGACTAGAAAGAGGGTTTTTACATGCCAAATCGGAGTTTGGCTTTCATAATGCGTCTCACAATACGCTCTGTTAGGTTTTTACTGCCAGGGAGTTGATCAATCTTGGCAATCATCTTACGATCCGCGGCCCATTTGTCTTTCAACGTCTTGGCTTTATCATAGTCAATGTCATGGGCTTTGGCAATCCTATCCAACCGGTTAATGCCGGGATCCCCACGGGCCAATCGTTTCTTTAAATGGGTGCCAGGACCCATGTACTGATAGCCGGGCCAATGAAATTCAATACCGGTCTTGTTGAGAAGGTTTTGTACATCAAATAACTTGCCGCCCCGTTGCGAGCGTCGTCGTCGTCTCGCTCGGGAACGGGATGGAGCACGACGTTTCCGTCCCATCTTAGGGGGTTTTCCACGATTTCCAATCCAAGGCTTTCTTGGCCCAACCAGCGGCTTTCTTTTTGGCAATACCCGCAGCTTTCTTTTTGGCACTGTCCGTGGTTTTTTTGCGAATATCACGTAGGGCTTTTCTCTTGATGGTGTCCACACGTTCTTTAGGGGTATCCCACGGTTCTACACCAATCTTCTCTGAAAAGGGCAACTCGTGCGCCAATTCTTCACTGCTCAATGGGGTCGTGAACTTGAGTTTCTTTTTGGCACTGGGCGTGAACCTTGGTTTAGGCGGGACAGGGGGTTTTCTGGGTCCACCAGGCGTCGACCCTTGTTTTATACCCTGAGTGGCCTTGACCAATTGCGTAAACCAGGCTTGCATGGGGCCCGCCTCAAAATCATCATCACCCGGCGTCGTAGCCCCTGCGGCAGTCACACCCCCAGCTGGGGCTCCAAACGGTTGGCGCACTTTTTTGGTCCAATGGCGTAATTGACGGCTGACGGCTTTGAGTTGAGGCCGTTTCCAAGCATCGGGGGCATCACTGGTCAACAGCACATGTTGTTTGGCGGCTAAATCGGCGGCTTTGGTCAAGCGAGTGTCTTCCACCAATTCTTGTTTGTACTGGTCTCGTAATTGTAAAAAAGCCGGGGCGTTGTTCACCGTGGTGCTCACCATCTCGGGTTCCATGGTGCAACTGAGGGGTCGGGTCTAGCGCATGCAACGTTTATAACATCGGTAGAGTTCCGGCCAGAGGGCACCCCCTTTTTGAGCCATCATGATAGCGCGTCGTCGTTTGACGGAATGAGCGGGTTTGGCCATGGCGCGTAAACTCTGAGCGTGAGGTTTGAGCAACGTAATGGTCTGTCGGGAACGGGGCACCGTGCCACGGAGCGTGTTCATCACCAATTCACTGACAGCATTGATCTGATCCGCATTGGCCATCCGCAACAATTCTTGTCGTTTGTGTTGATTGGCTTCTTGTAAGACACTTTTCAAGAACGGGGCTTGACGTTCCATGCGCCACCCCATGATGAATCTTGAGTTCAGGCAAGGACCAAGGTCTATTTATGGTAAAAATGGCGCCACACCGACCACACAATTCGCCATGATAATGCCGTTGCATGTGATCTCGACACCGTGCACACAAGGCGGCTTCATACTGGTCGTCCCAATCCAACGCAAACGTGACGGCTTTGCGTTTGGAGCGTCGTCGGTTAGTCTGGGCGTCGAATTCGGATTCTGGGTTTGTATTTCCTGAGCCACAAAGGCGAGAGAGCCATTGCCAAAAGCGGTAACTTTGCGCCGCGTTGCAAGCCACGTCGTCGGCGTCGTTTTCGAGGGACATAACGATGTCGGCGACCGTTGGGTCCACGGACCATCCTCAATGAGAATCTTGTGTCCCACCCAGCGTTTCTTTTATAGCCTTTTTAGCGTTTCAAAGCCGCCCCAACCCGGCATTCGATTAAACATCTGCTGGACCCGTCTTTTATTGGCTGCCATTTGCGCTGCACTGATCTTGCCCACTTTCTTTTTTTTCTTCTTTTTCTTCATGAGGACAGCGGCAGCGACCGCCGCGGGGATGAGAAGTGGGAGAATACCCCCTCGTTGTTTTCGGCGTCGTTTTCGTCGTCGTCGTGGACCACAGTGCATGATGATCTGTCCAATGGAGGACGCGCCTCTAACCTTTTATACTCTTTTTTTTCACATGATGGAACAATTGAACGATTCCCCCGCGTATTTTTTCCGTTTGCCTGAAGCCACTTCCCGTCGACGTTTTTCGCCAATGGCGATGGCCCGCTTGGTTTGATGATCCCCGATGGCTTTGGTGATCCCATAGCCGGCTTTGAGAATCCCTAGGGGCATGCTGACCGCGACACCCCCTACTTGACTCACACGCCGTCGTCGTTTGGCGGGTCGCCGTCGTGTCGTCCTGCGTTGGCGTTTGCGTCGAGGGCCCATTGCATTTTTTGGGACGATGGAAGAAAAGTCATGGTTTTTATACCTTTTAGGAAGAACTGCCTCCTCGTCCACGGGCTCGACCCCGTCCCCGTGCTCGGCCACGGCCACGGCCTCGTCCTCGGCGTGGTGGTCTGGGTGGACTTGGGCTGGAGGTTCGGGTGGACGTGCGGCGCACCGAGGGACGACCCCCCTCTTCATACACGGTCGTCACCGTATTGGTGTGCGTGATGTTACGAATCCGTCGACCTCGTGCCCGTTCTTGAGCATCTTCATTGAGCAAATCCAACCGTCGCCTTAATCCTCGCCGTCGTTCATCATCATCATCATCGCCATCCTCGTCATCAGACGGAGGGGACGAACCAGGGGACGGTGGGGAGGGCACCCGGGGGCGCCGTCGCGGTTGTTTGGCGGCAATAGTGGGCCGTCCGGCGGGGGTCGTCACCGTGGAGGTGGTAGTCCTGGTCCCTGCCCCGACGCTGCGGCGGCTGGTGGAGGGACGGGAGGGGGCGGTGGTGGTCGTGGCGGTCGTGGCGGGGCGTGTTCGAGTGGACGTGACGGGTCGTGGTCGACTGGTGGTGGTAGTAGTCGTGGTGGGACGAGTTCGGGTGGATGTGGTGGGACGGGTGGGGGCAGCCGTGGTGGTGGTGATGGTGGGTGGCGGTGGTGGTGCCATGGTGGTGATGGGAGTAGAAGTGGCAAGTGGTGCTGTACCGGTGCCTGCCACAGGCGGGAGCGTGAAGGCATTCAAGGCATCGTCGACATTGACCGGGTAGGTCAAATTGAAATCGTCAATGTCTTGCTCCAATTGGGCTCGATCCACGGGTCGAGACAATTCGGTCACCATGTCCGTCATGCTGCTGAGATCCCGGAGAACCGAGGGGGAACCCACCCCCGCGGGCGAGTGTGTGTCCATGCGAGCGGCTAATTCAGTATGTTGTCCGCCTTCTCTTTGCCGGCGGACCCTGGCGAGTTCTCGTTGCAGTTCGTTGTCGAACGGCAGGGACATCCGCACGCAAGGTGTGGACTTGCGCTTTGCCTTCTCGAGGCGTTAAATGACTCCACAGGCGATAGCGATCATCCGACGCCGGATGTACATCCAACATCAAATAGCCAAAGGGGCGGGCCGTGATGCGTTTAAATAGGCGCAAGACTTGACGCCATCGATCCGGAAAGGCTTGTAATAAAATCGTCCGTATCCCTGTTTGATCCCGGGGGTTTTTGAAGGCCACAATGTAATGCGCGTTGCGATTGATGGTCTTGGAAAATTTGCCCGGCGGGAATAAATCTTGCGTCAAATACAGCACCGTAATGTTGCGATGATGCGAATCTTTGGTGAACAAATCCAACACGCGCTTGTCTTGTCCCCCTTCTTCCATCAGGTCGTCCAAGACCAACACCCCGCCTCGCGTCCGACCAAACCATTGCGTCAAATGACGGGGGTCCGGTAACCCGCGATAAAATTGAATCCCATCCTTTTTTTGCATACGCTCGAATCGGGGTTGCCAGCGATCATAAGCATACACAATCTTGCGGGGTTTGACTTGAAACACGTTCAGGTACCGTAACCATTGTTCCACCAAGTCAGTCTTGCCACTGCCCGACGGGCCTGCGATGATCACACTGCTGGGTTGTCGGATCATGATTCCCACGGTCGAGGGTGACGTCGATAATGACCGGTGGCCCCTTTAGCGCCCATACGTTTATACCGTTTGTCCCGTCCCAATCGGTCACCGATTTTATAGGCTTTGGCCAACACGCTCATGATGCCTCGTCCGTTTTGACGAAAGCGGGGTCGTCGGGTGCGCTGTCGTCGTCGTCGTCTGGGCATGTCGTCCAATACTCGCGGTATAAGCGGGGCGATTCGGATTGGATCAGTCCTTCCATCGTCTCTCTTAAATACGTTTCGCTCATGCTGTCCATGTACTGCTTGAGGGAGACCCAATCTTGGTCTTGGGCCAATTGTCGGGCCATGAGCCAATGATACCCATCCCAGGCATCGATGCCACGCACCGTATTAACCTTTTCGATGGGGTGTTCCCACCAATACAAGGTTTCTTCCAGAATGAACGCATCCACCACCCGCTGGACATCGGCTCGTGTAATCATGATGAACTACAATGACCACTCGTGGACCACACATTTCGTTTTATGGGGTTTTTTATTTCAACACTCACAATGATTACAAGTGATAAAGGCCTGGCGGCTCACATTCTTTTGCCCTCCTTCAGGTGGACGGGCATCCACTTCATCTTGTAATTCTCGTTTGATCACCCGTTTCAACTGCTCGGCCACTTTTTGATCATTTAACACTAAATTGTCGCAACTCCATTGACTTAAAAATTCTTGATACGACCGTCCTTGCGCCCGGGCTTTCAAGAAAAATAACGCATAATGGCCACAGGTTTGACTATCCAGGGCTTGCAGGGTCTGGTCACTGCGCGTCAGGTACTTCCATTGACCCCACCATTGGTGCAACTCTGGGTTGGTGTACACGTGCAGGGGTAGACCATAACTGTCAAAGATCTCGCATTGGTTCTTTTCTGTCCACAGACCCAACCAATGCTGTCCTGGTTCTCCCGCTGGATCCGTGTTGACAATGTAGGCTTGACGGACACTCATGGCGGGGTGTCGAGGGAGTTGATCGGCTGGGTGCACCCCATGAAACACGCGTCGTAATTCGGGATCCTCCAAGGCCAGGGTCCGCAACACAGTATCGCTGAGCGCCACAAACTCCATGACCGATGTCTTCTGATGTCTGAGGCCATCTCATCCGTTGATGTTGTATTTTATACCTCCCAGATGATTGATATAGTACATGTTTTCATACTCGCTCCATACCAAGATGGTGACGTTATGACCGACCGCGGCAGCAAAATCAATCACCAGTCGCGTATTACCCGATTGACGGGGGTTGCGATACTGGGGGTTATCGGCTTTGCCACTGGGCACATTGTTGAACATGAACAACGTGCAGTTCTTGCCTTGTCCCCAATCACCAGGCAGCAGCATGGGAATCTTATCTTCACTGTAAACACCCATGGCTTGTAGAAATCGATCGTAGCCCAGCAGATCTTCATAGGCTTGGTCTCCAGTCAATTGCAGGGTTCTGTAAGGGTATTCTTCTCCATTCAAGGTCTGTCGTACTTGGGTGACACCAAACTTTTGAAAGGCAAAAGGGTATCTTTCTAGGTCTCCATTGAAGGCATCCGAATGCAATAACCCGACGATCACTCGATCAGGAAATCGTCCCACAAATATGTTGTCTTGTTCCCACTGGGTGGTACGCCCATCAAAGGAAAACGTGCGAATTTCGCTTCGTACGACAGGGTAGCTGGCAATCTGTTTTTTCAGCTGTCTTTCTTTCTGCAGTCTGACATAGACGCTAGCATTCAGGGTCACTTTTCTCATCAACAAAGTGACTTTGATGTCATCATTGTGGATGGCTGGAATTTTCTTGGTGTTCAAGGTGCCTTTGTTAGGGCTGCCCATCAGGTAGATGGTTTTGGGGTTCAGGAAGAGTTCAAAGTCCAACTGAACATTGGGAACCAACAATTTGCCTGTCTTGAGGGGTGGCAAATGAGGACGCACGATAAAGGTGTGCCAATGTTCACTCAGCAACTTGCTGGTCAGGGTTCGCAAGTCTGCATTGCCACTCCAACCTGCAGCCACAGGGACATCGGAATTGGCGGCGGTGGCTCCTATTTCTTCTGCCACATTGAGCTGATTGACCCATCCTTGGGGGGCTAGTTTGGTGGTTCCTTCTTCTCGGTTGTAATTCAGCAGGGTTTCTAGGTAGGCTCTGTAATGGTAGGTGTTGCTCTGTTCCGTCATGAGGACGCCATTCATGCTCATGGTAATGTCTCGAAAGATGGAGTGACCGAAATTGTTGACGCAGTAGACGTGTCTGGTTTCGTTGGCATTGGAAATGAGCAAACCAGCATGCAATCCTGTATATCCAGCGGCGGGATCGGTCAGGCGTACTTTGACTTTGAAGCGGAGAGAATTGAGATCGTAATAATCGTCAGAGCCTGGAATGGAGAAGGTGATGGGTTGGATGCCCGTCAAGGCGGGTTGAAACTCCACATCCCGCGAGGCTTCATACCGATAATCCACATCGGGCACGTCAAACAGACTGAGCGACATGATGCGGTCTGTCCACGAGGTTCAACGGCGTCCTCTTTTTATACCCTTTTGTAGTCTGTGCCAATCATGGATGGGAAACGCGGAGGGAAAGGGGCGGTGAGGAAAATCGATTTGGATGCGTTTTTTCAACTTGCTAAAGACGTTGCCCCCTTTCTGCTTCTTCTGTTTCCTGGCTTTGGCTTGATTGGCCCACAACACTTTTCGGAGATCCCCCTTGCCAAAGATCGTGCCCCCTTTCATACGTTTCTTGATCCAGCGGTCCATCATGGCCTTTTCTTGGGCGGCTGAGAGGACCTTCATGGGATCCCCCATACGCATGCGAGTGGACGTACCAAAAATCGTACCCCCTTTCATACGGCGTAGGGCTTGTTTTACTCTCCAGGGTTCGGGGTTGATCCGATGCGTCGTATTCATCAGGGGATAGCGCGCCATGGTCGACTTGCCAAAAATCGTGCCCCCCACTTGATACGGCGAAATGAACCGTCCACGGGCACGTTGCCGTCGAACACGATTTTGCGATTTGAGAAAGCCTCCTACACGTACCATTTTTTCACAGTCCAAAGATATCCCGTACGCGTTGCGTGGCTCTTTTATAGGTATTTTGAGCGGTCCGTTTAACCTTGTGTTTGCCAGTCGTCCAAGCCATGGCTGAGTTGGGCACTTCGATCGGCCCAGGTGTCCGCGGCACTCTTGCCACGTTGAATATCTTGCAGTCCCGCTTGAGCTTGTTGCACGATCAGGGGTCCTGCCAGTTTGATCAAGTCTTCGGCCAAGCCTTTGCCCTCTTGCTTAGTGAGCACGGGCGTATGGTACCGCGTTAAACTGCCTCCGCGCATGGTTCACGTCGTGGTGCTTTTTGGACCCACGTGATGTTGGGGTGACTTTTTATAGCTTTTTGAGACCAATGGTGACCAGGGTTTTGCCCGGGGGTAAAGGGGCCAGGGGTCCAGCGGTACTGGCAATCTCCACTTCCAAGATATCCAATTGATTTCCTCGGAGTTTGATCCATTGGTGGTGCAGGGGTTCGGCCGTACTTTCCCCATCGCCGGTTCTCAACAATTGCACTTCCCGTAACAGGGGATACTTGCCACTGCCCACCACGGTGGATTCGACCAGATCCGAATAGACCATGACGGTCCGTCGACGAGTCCCCACGATCTTTTCAAACGAGGCATCTAGGTTATTCAACCGCCATTCAAACGCCTGGTGCAATCTCACCCACTTCACATTGTCCTCTGTCACGATGAAAAAGGCTCGGCTGGTAAAGTTGACGCCCTCGTACACCTCCCCTTCCCAATTGTAATAGGTTCGATATCGACTCCCGACGGGGCCTGTGGTCTCATCATAGGTCTTGACGGGGAGAGAATATTGCATATTTGGCCCCAGCAGATAATCGCTCTGGTTGCTTCCAGTCTTGCCCGTCTTTAGGCGCAGCAAGCCAAACTTGAGTGCAATGTCCACGTTGATGTAAAATTCCACCATGTTGATTTGGTTCGAGTTCAACAATTCCTCTTTGGGAATCGCATCAATCACCAGACTCTCCCCTGTCCACCTCAGTCGGGGGATGCCGTGTTTTTTGACAAACACAATGGGTTTTCGGTCGCGATTCTTGATCAGTTCGCTCCATTGATCTTTCATTACCGTGTACATGATGAAGTTATGCATGGTTTGCATCACGCGTTGCCAAAACTGACTCCCTGTCGCCACGATTTGAGTTGGATTCATGACATCTTCCAATTCGATCATGCCGGTCACCTTGGGGGAATTCACGCTCAAATACCCTGACGTGGTTGGGTCGCCCGTGTCTGTCCACAGACGCACTATTTGCGGATAGGTGTATCGCACCACTTTGGTATGTGGATCCGCGGCGATGATGGCATTGCTTTGGCCTTGATCCGGGACGGTCAGGGACATCAACGAGGCATGCCAGCCTTCGCCTGGTAAGTTCACACGTTCGGGCAGACGGACCTTGAAACTGTTGTTGGCATTGTTGGGAAACTCGTCGGTTGGATCACTGATGAGCGTCAAACGTTTAATCTCACTCATCATGAGGAAAAAGGGGCACGTCCCCCAGGGTGCAGGGTCCTTTTATAGCCAAGTCGCCACTTTGTGTTTACTGCGAGGGACGCGTCCCACCACTGAATTGAAGGTCGATTGTTTAGGATGAAAACACACTTGCTGGGCAATGTTGGGAAAGGCCCGGGCCAGTTCCATCAGGGTCATGCAGGTCTTGGGTTTAGGGGGTTTCTTCTTGCGCATGGGTGGATGACGACCAGCGCGTCGACGTTGTTGTTGTTTTTTCTTGGGTGGGGACCGTAGAGCCCCTCGTTGCTTGGCATACTCCTCGGCTCGATGGTAAGCATTGGCGTAGGCCCATTGTTGTTTGGTGGGGCTAGCCAACTTGTCCCACCACGGTTGGGTTTGCCGTTGTTCCGCGGCTTTGTTCTGGATGAAGTTCATAATGTCCGCGTCCGTGGTAGGTGTGACATCATCGAGAAACTGCACCCGCTTTTTTCTTTTTCGAGGCGTTCGTTTGACGCGGACCATGTTGCGCAGGAATCCAACTATCGTACTTGGCCGGCCACCCTTTCCACCGGACCAAGATCTGACGTCCTTTCCGTTTCAAGACTTTTTCGATTCGAAACAATGAATCGTCTGATACTTGGACTTTTTGCACATCGGGTTCGTAAAACGTGCCTTTTATAGGGGTGCCGTCCCATTCACTGAGCTGATAGGTGACCACGGGATGACGACGCACATGTGTGACCACAAACACTTCTTCCGTCCAGCCCGGTAAATACCCTTTTTTGAAGGGACGATGTTTCTTGTTGAGACGCACCCGATCGCCCACGCGACATTTGGGTGGGGGGATCTTGGGCTTCAATCGGGTTCCATAGAGTCGATCCCATACCTCGGACTCGTTTCGAAAGGTGACTTGATGCGGCGCCATCCCAATACTGCGATGATAGGCGTGATTGTAGGTATAGATCAAGGGTTGTAAGACGTCCACGTACCGTAACGTATTGTGCGCAGTGAAATACCGGTACATGCGTCGTTTCAAGGTGAGATGCCATCGTTCCACCACCGAGGCTTTGCTATCCCCATACGTGTAAAAATGATGCCAATCGTGTTTCTTGAACCAGGCTTGGACCTTTCGATTCAAAAATTCTTGGCCTTGATCCGTTTGTACCCGGAGGGGTCGTCGTGGCGAGGCCCGTCGACGTATCGCGTCCAACCCTCGGATCATGTTGGCGGCACTCTTGGATTTGATGGGGACGGCCCAGGCATACTTGGACAAGACGTCGATGACCGTTAACAAATATTTGTGGCCTTGGTTCCACCGACTGAGTTTTTGCATGTCCACTAAATCCATCTGCCATTGTTCGTCGCGGCCAAAGACCAAGGTGGGGGTGGTGGGAAACCGGGTCCGTCGGGGTTTGTGGAGCGTATAGCTCAACACGGATTGAAGAATCTGTTGCGCTTGTGGGGTTTTCAATTTGTGGGCTCGGGCAAAGGGTTGGACCCCACCCAAGGCCCCAGGGGCTTGGGGATCTTCGTAAGCGCGTGGCAACGACATCAAGACACTGACACACATTCTGAGTCCAATTCTGTCTTTAATAGTTTTTTTCACAAACACCTACATGTTCAAAACAAGCACGAGCTCCCAAAGTTCTTATGTAAATGGCGCCTTTTCTCAAATTCTCGCTCCTGGGCTTGAACAGACTCGCCAAACTGTTTCAACCATGGATCATGCTTTAGCTTTTCTATCTCGGGGTTTGGCCTCTCACCATAACGCATCTCTACAGCGTGCATTCCCCAGGGTCTCTCTTTTTCTGGACCTTTCAGAAGAGGTAGAGACTCCTTGACCCATCGTCTCAGGGTAGGTTGCGCTTGCTCTCGGGGACACCACAAGGGGCCATGGAGCCATTGAAAGTAGCCACAGGGTTTGGCATGGGTAAGAAAGCTCCCACAACTGAAAAACACTTTGTTGTAGTTCTTGGTGGTGCGACTCAATTTCATCTTGGGAACCAACCCACATTTGCACTTGAGTTCTCCGTGTTTCAAACGAGCATGGACTTGAGGATGCGTGTCTTCTTTCAATTTCTCCATCATCACCTCTCGCGTGTCTTCAAACAAATAGACCGGACACCCTAGTTGGGGACACTTGAACCTCAAGGGACCAAATTGGGCTTGGGGGTTGACGCATTCCAGGAATCGATGGGGATGAAACGGGCAGGCTTCATACAGGAGTTGGTTGAACTGGGTGTCCATGTCCAGGATTTCCCATTCCCCCACTTCTGTCGCGGGATCTGAATGAAACGTCCCTTCCTCTACACATTCTTCCTTATAGTCTTTCAGGGTGCCCTCTATCAGGTCGTCGATGGGCGAGGGTGTAGGGGGTGGCCGTGGGTCGTCGGCTTTAGGCAAGGCGTTGAGAGCCATCACCAGTTCACTAGTCGGGGGTTGTTTGGCTTTCATCTCTAGGAGTTCAGCTCGGGACAACCCAAGCTCGGCCATCTCCTGATCATGATCCGCTTTCATCTGTGCAGCTCGCGCTTGGGCTTTCTCCTCTTCTTGTTTTTGTTTCTTACTGACGCGACGTCGTTTGCGTCCCGACGGCACGGCTACAGGTTGAGTGGCTTGACGATCCATCTTCTCCACTTGACGAATGACTTCAAGGGAGCGTCTACCCAGCCTTTTATAACCCCTCCTCCTACGTCTCGTGACGCCACTCGTGATACTCATACGATCTTTGTTCCACCAATCCGGACTCGTCCTGTCCTCTTGTGATGATCGTATGATCTTGGTCTCCACCAATCAGACACCATCCTAGGGGTTATAAAACCAGGGATGAGTCAACGACCCCTCTCATTCGTCGCGATCTCATTGACACGGTAAGCATGGCGCTCCATGAAGTGGGTCTTTTGGTGTTCAGTCAGGGGTTTGCCCTCTCCCGCGACGAGTATATCATTCGAGAACTGGCTTTTTGTGATTGGACGGGGCATCATCATGGATTGTTCAAATACCTGTTACCAAATACCTGTTACCTGTTACCGTACCATCAATTATCCGAGGAGGCCCGAACCCGAGTGGATCGTCAGACCCAGACCGTGCATGGCTTGCCCTTCGAACCCTACACAGCGTACAATCGCCAAGACTTTCATCCCTACGATCAAATGCGAGACGATATCACCCGTTGGTGTCAACAGCATCTCACCCCCCAGCGGAATCGGATCGGGGTTCACACGTTCAACGGCCTGGCTAAAATGTTGCAAGAGCCCCCGTTTGCTTACCCTCTCGTGGTCTTGGAAGGGCAGGGGTGTGGGGACTTGGCCAATCTCCCTATTGCCACCGCCAATGTCATGGCTCACCACGATCATGGTCGCAATTGGTGTGAGGATCATTCTCATGGAGCCCGTGGGAGTGGTATCTGGCATGATCATTGCGCGCATGTGCGGGTCTGTCAAATGAGTGGATGGTTACGTCGCCAGACCCATGTCCTACCCACCCTTTCGCAAGTCAACGCCCAACGCGTATTGTGGCAAAAACGGTGTGATCGATTATTAGACGAACTGTTATGCAACTTTTGTATCGAAGCCAAAGACCAGGCGTTTGCTAATGGTCAAGGACTGGATTGGATCCCGGAGGATTGCGATGATTGTCGTAGCGTCTTACGTGTCTTTGAACAAACCGTGACCCAACGGGAATGGGATGTGCCCCTGATGTACGCCGATGATGAACCACATACCATGTGGGCTTGGACGCCTATCCCTCGTCATAAACACCCTCGTCATAAACACTGACTTTTTTTTTTTTTTTTTTCACAGAGTATGCCTTTGACTATTTACACCGGAGGAGCTAAAGGGGTGGACACACATGTGGAGCGATTATGTCACTTGTATGGTCATACCTGTGTGGTCTTTATCCCACCCTGTCACCCTCGATCCAAGTCCCTCACGCCCTTGACTCAATCCCAGTTGGATGCGGCCACACCGACCGTCACCCAGGTGGCATTTCGATTGGGTCGACGAATTCATCATCCTATCAGCCTCCAGTACATTCAACGCAATTATTACGTCATTCAGCCGGCGTCCCTCGTTCTCGCGTTGGGTCATTTTGATGAATATGGCAAGCATTTGTTGGGAGGTACAGGCTGGGGTGTGATCATGGCCCAGCTTTTAGGCAAACCCCTCTATGTATTCGATGTGGATAAAGAACAATGGTATTGGTGGAATCCCACCTCCCAAGAGTATCAAGTCTGTGAGGGCATGACCGAGGAACAAATCGCTTTACCCACCCTCCAAGACAAGACCGCCATTATCGGCACCCGAGAAGAAGACCCTGTCCTCTATCCCACCCTGGATGCTTTATTTAAACGTCAATAAACAAACACTGTTTCATAGAACAAATCACGTGTTTTTATTTCACATCAATGATAACAAAATCCATGGCAGCCATCACTTTATGAATCAAATCCAGTCTCGTCATGACTTTGTCTATGGTATTGTACGAGGACTTTCTCCGGCCAATCATGACGGGACGCTCACCCAAGGGTGTCTCGGGAATCCGATGGGCGAATTGCCTAATGACAAAGGCAATGCCCTCGTTCATCAACCTATCCAGATTGGGAGGGACACGGGCCATCTCCGCCATCATGCCAACCTAAAACCAGACAAAAAAAAATGTTTTGTTAGTGTCAAGGTCATGAAAAGAAGAAGAAGGCAAAAAAAACAAAATCACTCACCGACATCCGGTGATCCGACATGCGATGGCAATGGTGGCACCCATTGGTCCTGGGAGCATGCATTCGCACGATCACTTGGTTCCAAGTCAGGCCCTCGCCTAGGTGCTTGGGATACCCTGTCATGGCGCATTTGGGCAACCCCTTGAACTCTCGCACCACTTTTTTGCGTTTGTCCATCGTGTAAAAACACTCCACCCAAAACATGATCTTCACTTGCACTTCCAACGGGAGCACGTTGCCAAACGGTTTATTCCTGGGGTCGACCAACCCTCGGCAGTCCATGATGACAGTGGCCAAGCATGGAATGGACTCTCTCCACTCTAGTCTGCCTTAGTTATCTGTTCCTTGGACCAATCACTCATTCGTACCAGGCCTTGGAGTCTCACCCAAAAAAGTGTACCCATGGGGGGTACCCCCTAGAGTCTCCTCTCGTGATCAAACGCCCTCACGTGATGTCTCTCCACCAATCAGTGTCTCTCATCAAGTCTGTAAATCACGTTGCGCGCTCTGTGTGAGCTCATTCCAGTTTGATCCGTCAAGCTATTCAAGATGGTGAGCTCTTTACAATCGATTGTGTTATTCACGGTGCCCATCGCCATGCTGATAGAGATGTTGAAGGTTCTCCACCATCTGCCCATGGGCCACGAGTTGTTCCGTGCGCTGTTTCGCAGATGTACGCATGAAGAGTTGCGGGATTGGGCCAAGACGTTCCCGTGGGACCACCCGATTGCCCGGAAATTGGATCACGAGGTGCATCGACGTCGTATGGCTGGTGAGTTTTACAGCTTTCATTTTTTTTCGGGGTGTGGGTCCCTCTTTTTTCCTTATACCTTTTTTTTGATTTTTCATAGAGGTATTCAAGGGGTTCGAGTTCCTACGCACCGTATTGTGGCCTGTTCACTTATGTCTTTGCCCTCGACGTGCCCGACTCAATTGGGCCGCGCGGTTCTGGGTTCCAACCTGTTCGTGTTGATTTTTTGTTTGTTAGATTCATGGGAATATGTGGAAAATCAGCCTGTGTGCCACATATACCAATGGATCGCTCATCCCACCCATGGCGGAGTCTGTAACCATTGCGAGCGAATGATGGATGGGTTTCGCATGGATGATGTGATTGCTGGCAACTGGGAGGGGACCCTCACCGAAGATGAAATTGTAGACTATGTACAGAGTGGGGACCCTAACCATCGGGATTGGGACGATTTTCCGTTACGTATGACGTTCCGAATTAATACGTTTCTCCGGAGACAGGGTGATGTGGGTGAACCCGATTTGGCAGATCTAGGGTTTTTAGAGGATTAATTTCAGTTCATTTTTTTTTTTTTTCACAGGCACACATTGCCTGTTACGTGATCATTTGCAATGGATTCCGAGTGTGCACTTTTTACACTCCCATTTTTTCCGAATCCTGACTCGTTCATTTTTCACCTCTTTGTAGGTTTTCATTTCACACTAAAACAATATGGAGGATGGGTTCGACCCCTTCAATTAAGATGTCAATATAGTACGGTCCAATGTGTAATTCAACTTCATGACATATTTCAGATGTGATTGAGGTCATTGACCAATGGGGGTGGATCCTTCCTTTGCAACATCGATGCCATATTCATTGTGTTCAACAATTCAGTCAATTCTGTAATAATACTGCTTTTTAGAGACCCGTACCCGCCTCCAGAACAGTCGCTGGTTCCGAGACCCCGTGGCTTTTTTACTTGGAACAGACATGAAAGACATTTATTATTATTGATTTTTTTCAAAATTTTAGAGACACATACCCACATCTACAACAGTTGCTTCTTCCTAGACCGCCTTGTTTTCTTACTCATGAAGACAAAATATTATTATTAATTTTTTTCATAGATTCGCATACTATTCTCAGCACCCACAGGGTTCATGGCACTTCCGCGGCCTGGTGTTTTTGTGGTAGTATCGTACAGTGGTACACTGGACCAGGGGTCCCTCTTCCGCCGTATCCAAGACCCCTCAAATTACTTTGTTGTCGTTGTTTTTTGAATTTTCGTCGCGTGCAAGATTTACACGTGCCCTGTTATTGGTGTGAGATGTTGCAAGGCATGGGTTATCCACCCCGTCCTTGAAAACCTGTTTTTTTTTCTTTTTCGTTTTCAGAGTCTCGTTTTGTCATACGAGCTATTTACCTCCCTTCCCTTTTTCAGCCACTACCCAGATAATCCTGAAACACACCAGGTACACGAGGTTCGGACCGGGAAGACAATTGTATTTCACGTGCAATGATTGTTGGACCTATTCACGGCACGTGTCCGTCCTCTCTGAACCCTGTTGGGGATGTTATATCTTAGAAAGCACAGGATGGGAATTCTGAACATTCGGCAGGGGGAGGTCTGCATGGTGGCGCCACCCCTGTTGAATGTTCATTTTTCATTTTCCTTTCATTAGATTCTCATTGGATTATACAAGATATCATGATTTTTCGAAGCTGGCCCATCCCTCATAAACTCTGTATTGTCAATCATCAAGGATGGTCCAGCTTACTCCATTTGTTCAAACTCAAACGTTGATTTTTTTTCTTTCATTAGTATGTTATTGGTTCCTGGATACTCAAACTAAGATATTGATTTTTTATTAGAATGTCATTGGATCCTAGACCATTTTGATTATAATCAAGACTGGATTTTAATAGAATATTATAGTAAAAAAACATTTCAAGGGCGTGACACCACTAGGGCGTCACACACGTCCCGTTTGTAATGAAGGTCTGTTTTTTTTCAGTCAATCATTGGACCATAAACCACCGTCTTGTGCGTGCCAATGGTCGACTGTATCTCATCCAGTTTGCTTCTTGGATCTAACCACCCCTCCATTTAATTTGTTTCAGTCACTTTGGCCACGATCAAATTGCCTTTCATCAAACCATGGTCATACACAGGTTACAACCATTATATCAAATGGCCTCATCCAACGCTCATGACTTCTTCCTCTAAGAAGCAAATAGCTTATGTTCATTCTATCTATTAATGCAAAAAAAATGGGCATGACGTCACTCGGGCGTCACACACGTCCCGCATGTAACTAGGCTCACTCGTGACTCGTCCATTAAAAATCATGTGTGGATCTAAAATCTTGTGTGTTTTTCTTGACTTTGGGGATGCGAGGGGTCTGGGACCACTTTTTGTGACTTGCGCATGCGCAGTAGGTCTACGCGGAAATAGGCTCACTGGCATGCGGGGGACCTGGGGAGTCGTTTGGCGGTCTGCGCATGTGCCTACGATCTCATTCACGTGACTGCGCAGGGTAAACGCTTGGACCCCATTGCGCATGCGTTCAACTACTAGGCTCTTCTCATTAAAACTATGCTAAGCATGCAGATTCAACTATTTGTGTGCGTGTGTTCTTTATTCCTAGGGGGTCACGTGGGTTAAAACAATGGGGTTGTGACGTCAAAAAGTCACCTGACCTAAATGCGCGATTCTTATTGGTCGAGACGAAATTTGCTGCGCTCTGATTGGTTAGGACCTAGGGTAGCCATGTATACTACTATTACGCACTAGATTTTCCGGGACATTCATTCGGGCCAGACCCCTCGCAAACACCGACCATCCTACTGGTTCAAATCCTTTGCGGTGGCGCCATGTGTCGTTGACTAGAATCAGTGAAAGGTTCCGGCAATTCTGCTTTTTTAGAAAAAGATCAACTCTGCTACTTGAAAAGAGCAGAAAAATTAACTTTCTGCATTTCTTTTTCATAGAACAACATGCAAAATTGAAACCTTTTTTGTTAATGCTAGTCGATCAGGTGAAAAGTTAAAAAAAGGTACCTTTTAAGAAAAAAAAGGCGGGTATTTTAAGCTTTCGGGTGAAAATATTTTAACGTCAATATTGTCCACTTTTCATCCATTTCTCACTTTACCAAACGATGATTTAAAGCGCGAAAAAGGTACCTTTTTGTCGCTTTCAAGCGATCTCATGAAAGCCACAAAAAGGTACCTTTTTTGCAGTTGGAAGCGATGCTCTCAAAAGCGCGAAAAAGGTACCTTTTTTGCAGTTGGAAGTGATGTTGTTAAAAGTGCGAAAAACGTACCTTTTTAAAAATATAAAATAGTGTTTTCAAACTTTTGGGAAGCCATTCAAAATGCTACTGATTGACATATGTCATCCGTTGGCACCCCTTGAGCTTCAATGAATGATGCACAGACTTTTTTTAGGGGATTCTAGGTGATCCTGTTAAAATTGAAATGATCTACAAGGGGAATTAGCGGAGCAAGAAATTTTTGCTCGCTTCTTTAAGCCACGATCAAAAGCGAGAAACTAGAAGAAATCCGAAAATACTAGTCACCAGCCAAATGGATAAAATGGCTCCCGAAAATGTTAGTAACAACTTCTGGTACTTTAGAAGCTCAGCAAGCGCAATTTTAAGCGTGAGCAAACACTTTAACCGGAAAGAAGTCCTACATGTAAAGCAAAGGTATTCATTTTCCATTAAGTCTAAACTAAGCGAGTTCCGAGCGGGTCATTTTAATATAACTGTCTTGTTTCCTGGGTGATGTTTTTCACCCCAGAAAGGTTATTAAATTAGAGACTTCAGTCTTGGGGTTATTTTTCTTTGCTATGATATAAATTATATAAATGATTTAACTTCAGGTGCTTTTTGAGCTACAGGCTGAAATAAAGCCATTAACAGTAAAAATGCCACCGTACATGTACCTCTGACACCCCCTAACTAAATACTAAGAGTAAGCCTGAACAACTTTCCTCTTCTTAGACTTTTGTACAGTAAGCCAGCCTTTTTTTCGAGAACTTTGGTGGAACTTCCCGGAATTTTTTTTTTCACAGAAAATGAAAATTAGAAATTTTCAAATAGAAAATAAACTCTCAGGAGTCAAAATAAAAAAAATTCAAGTGCCACTGTGTAGACAATTGTCTTTTGGTGTATTAAATCCATTAACATACATTCTTGTTATTTTAACACGTATAATCATCGCATCATCGCGCATTTTAGTGAACTTTCTTAGGGTGAGCATGTTATTCGAGAAAATAGAGCATTAAGGTACAGCATTTTAGCGAGGAAACAAAAAAGCATTTTAAATACACAAGAGACTGGCCCGGCTTCTCTTCAGGTTACTTATAACTGACACCTGTCATTCATTGATAACCACTGAACCAGTGACAATGCTTCCAGCTCTACTCCGACACTGAGCAAGAAGGCTCACACCCATGCCAAAATCAAGCAAGGGGGATAGATTTTAAAACTACGACCTGACACTGTACATGTTACAGTGTCAAGCTCAGCAACCGGTTTCAAACTTGGCCAATAAACAGGGAATATTTATCTCTTGACTAGTGGATTAGTAAATTCAGACAAAAATTCATAAAAATGACACCAAACTGTTGACATCTGTCAATCAGTAGGATTCTAAATGGCTTCCCGTGGCTTGAAAACACTATGAAAGGTACCGTTTTTGAGAACATCACTTCCAACTGCCAAAAAGGGTACCTTTTTCGCGCTTTTGAGAACATCGCTTCCAACTGCAAAAAAGGTACCTTTTTGTGCCTTTCATGAGATCGCTTGAAACCGAGAAAAAGGTACCTCTTTTGCGCTTTAAAACATCGTATGGTAAAGTGAGAAATGGATGAAGAGCGGACAATATTGACGTCAAAATATCATTCACTCGAAAGCTGAAAATACCTGACTTCTTTTTCAAAAAAAGGTACCTTTTCATAACTTTTAACTTAAACGACTAGCATAGACAAAAAAGGTAACAATTTTGCATTTTGTTCCACGGAAAATGAATGCAGAAACTTAGTTTTTCTGCTGTTTTTAACTAGCAGAGTTGACCTTTTTGTAAAAAAGTAGAATTGCCGGAATCTTTCACTGATTGACTAGGTCCACCAGATGAGAACCTGGAATGGGTTTGGTTTCATACAAAAGCTCTCCTTTATCATTCCAATGCAATACATCTTGATGCTCCTTAATTTTATCCAACAATTGTCTAGCCCCGGCTTTGTAAATTTTGGGTACACTTCTCATGACCTCTGCCTCTACGGCTGATGAAGTGAATTTTTCCGGGACAGGTTCTTCCGAAGGTTGTTCATTTTCTTCTGGTTTAGGTGTTTCTACTGCTTTGGGAGTTGATATTTTCACATGAAGAGGTTGACCTTTTCGCTGATCGTAATAAGTCAAGTACCGCTGCAACACTTGATTGTAAAGCCTAGCTTTTTGTTCATCATCAAGTTCTTTACTGGATAAAATATCGGTCATTTCACTATCCAAGTTTCTCAGAGTTTGTGTGACGGGTGGGGTTAAAATCTGCTGGCGCTGCTGTAATCTTTCCAAGGTGTTCTCGGGCACGAGAACCATACGCTTTGTGTGATTCATTTTAGGTAAGAATCGAACTTAACACACGGAGAACGGGAGGTAGCAAAACACTTAAAAAATTTCCTCCGTGTTGTACCAACAATTTCTTTTTCTTATCGAGTGGTGTACTTTTTTCGGCTAAGGCGATCAAAGATTTCTTGTGAGGTAAAAGTTTTTTCTTGGCTGGCTTACTGACAGGCACTGTTCCTTTAAGCACGTTTAAAACACACTCACAAATGGTTCTTACTAAAGCGTCATCTGCCACCTTCAAAATGGCTTTACGCTGAGCTGGTGTACACTTGACAAGCAGTTTCAGAAAATCGTGGTTCTTTCTAAGTCGCTGTGCCATCCTCAACTGAAGAAATTTGATGCGGTTCACGCTTTTTATACTTTTCTGACGTAAGCGTACTGAGTCTCCCCGAGGAAAATATTCGTACGCAGCCGGAAGTCGGTAGGTGTTTCCGGTTTAAGATCACAAAATAGATATCCATAGGGCCTTTTTGTTGCATCCTCAAACGCTTCTTGCATGTATTTGACATGACCGAGAAACATTTGTCTTGCTAAATGATTGACTTGACTGCTATCACGCGGGCTTTTGAACACTACTAAGTAATGAGAATTCAAACTCATATCTCTCAGTTCTTTTCCACGATGAAAAATGTTTTGGAGAATAAAGATCACGCTGAGATTGCGATGGTGACAGCCCTTGGTAAACAAATTAGTCATTCGCTGATCATTGCTAACCTCGTGCATTAAGTCATCAATGACGACTAAATTCCGCATAGAGGGATTAATTAGGGTTTCCAGATCACCAGGCACTCCTTCAACAAACATAATGTTCGGAATAGTTTGAAGCATCTCATCGTAGGCTGGTTGATACATGCTATAACATCAGATGGTATTTTCCGGGGCACCATCAATCATGTCTTCTCCTGCTTCTAGTAAACGTTTTACAAACTGACTTTTCCCACAACATGTTGGGCCGGCCACAAGCGCGGGGAAAGGATGTTTCCATCTCGGGTCCATGATCACAACTGATTAACTGATTTGTGCGTACTCTCATTTATAGAAAAAAAAAAATTGTTTTGGGTTCACCCTCCTTGTCATACACACGAATCGCATTGGTATTTTGTAATTTTGCAAATTGAAGCCAATATTTTCGTTCGATTTCCGATAACTCGTGGACTTGAGTTAAATGATTTGCTAATCGAACTAAGAATTTAGAACGACATCCCGGTATGGGGCAATGTTTACATTTTAGTTTCTTCATGCTGACAGGACGAATGTTAAATACCAACTGAGTAAAACTATTTGTGACACGAAATTTATCGTTGATTTTCAAGGGCAGATCGGGCAGAAAGGGCAGAAAGGGCATCTTTTTAGCCCTGTGTTTTTTTCCCTGGGCAGCGCGTGGAGATCTCGCGTGTAAGTCGTGCGCGTCGAGTCAGGAAACAAGCCACGATTAAATTCAACCAATGATTTATTTACAAACTAATTTCCTATGTACAAACATCCGTGAAAAGCTAGGCAAAAATACTATTTACAACTAGAGGCGATCTTATACAAATATTTCGGAAAACTATTTTGAGAGTAATATATACGCAAACTTGAGAAAATGAAAATTATTTACAAAATCCATTTTTTACAAACTTGAAAACTTAAATTTCGAGTGGAGTGGTGCTAACTCCATCAGCCAAAACTTTACGTTTCGGGTAAAAATACGAAAAGGCATCCCTAACTTGCTCATAAGTGTACATAGTATTATTTACAACTCTGAACCCTCGATTCACCCCAGCACTATTCTGTTTTGTAAGTAAGACATTAAGGTATTTATCTTTGTTAATGTCATTGCATTTCTTGTTGACATCCTTACAACTAAACTTATCTTTGACCCCAAAACAGTAGTAGGTTTTTGAACACAACCCGATAATTCCTTGTCCCTCCCACTCAACCTTAAAAAGACCCGGGGTTCGCTTATCATAGGCTTTATGCTCGGGTGTATCCGTACGGGGAAACCAGTTGCATTTATCAGCTTCGAACTCTGCTTTCAATTCTGGTTTGACTAAACTTTCCACACTCTCCCCAGCAATAGCGATATACGCTGAATCCGTATCCATTTCACACATTTGAAAACCGCTGCGATCGAGATACTTGTCTAAGAAATCATAATAAAACTGCAGCATGCGTAACTTAGCATACTGATACACAAAAAACCCGACTTGAATAGGTAAGTTTAACTTAATAGTTTTCTTACAAGACTCTACTTCATAAGTATCTTCTGTGATATTTTCCAGTTTCCGGAACAGTGGGGCGTTGACTTTTCGGCTGGCCTCTGCGTCACTGCAATACTCCACGTTTCTGTGTTTCAGTTGGTTAGTGATCGTCTTACCATAGCCTGAATTACCCACCTGAGAGATAAACAAAGATATAAGTTTTTTCTATTCGTGAAAATGTATATTGTTCCCACCCCTTTATGAACGAAAAAATGAAACAAAAACTTACCAGTTTCATGGTATCTGCAATGATGGCTTTACTGGGGTCCGCATCTCCGGCTCTCCTCGCGTCTGACACCGCATCTCCAAAGGGTTTGAAGCAGGGCTCAGGGGTGAATTCAACCACTTGGTAGACTTTGGTGACTTCCAGGCCGTGTTCTAAGTACCATTTGAGGAGGGGTGTGGCCAACAAGATTTTTTCTCCTTTCATGCTCCCGATCAAGCTTCGCCGAAGCTGAGCCATGATGTTATGCTCTTCTGCGTACGCTTTCATGAAGTCTCCAATATCATCGCGGCTGATTTCTGTGTTCTTGAAGATCGGGCACATTTCACTGAATTTCTCTTTCAAATGCTCAGGCACACGAATATCTACTTCCACGCACCCAAACAAACGCTCATTTCGCACCTCGCTCAATATTCGCTCCGGGCTCATGATCTTGACTTTGTCGAGGGTTCTTCTCACTTCGGTGGCAATAAAACGCCGTAGTTCTCGGTTGGTTCTCTTCATTTCTGTCCACTGACATTCATACATTTCCACCACGTTGTACCCTTTGCTGCGGATATACTCCGTGTTGGCTCTCGTTTCTTCTCTGATCTCAGCCATAGGTTTCTTGCGTATTAAAAAGGAAATGAAGTTACCTTATCTAGCGCCATACGTTCCATCTCCTCGATTTCTCGAAGGTCAGCATTCGTAAACTGTACAGCAAGGAAACATATTCGATGAGTATTATACGACAACTGTCTACAAAAAGTTGAAGCAAATCGAGTTTGGAGTCCTTTTGTTTCTTAAACGAGGATAACAAAAGATACGCGATTTAGTTTAATAGATCAAATGCAAATCTAACCCAAATCGAGTCCATTAACATAACGAACATAAATGATGCGTGAACTTTTTACACTTCGTGACATAACATATTGGAAAACGTACCGAATCGCTCAGTAGATCGTTGACTTCATCACTACCCGTGTCCTGATTGATTTCAATCTGTGGAGTAGAAGATTAATATAAACTCGCTTCGGTAACGTACAGATTAAACGTAAACCGTCATCAGGAAAGAACTCAGAGACGAAATAGAATACTTACCGGTAGCTCTTGGGCTGTGAGTTCCGACAGCCGAGCATACGCCATTGGGATCCACTCATCGCGTATCAAAATAGATTCCAGCAATAATTCCCAATCGTGGGTCGAGGAACAACCATCCAAGAGAGCTTGAAATTCGCGAACGTTGGTAATGAAAGCCATGATGTTCAAAAAGTAAATAAAGGTTTTCTCAAAACGAGCGAACTCGGACAAATGTTCTCCTTAACAAAGCGATTGCAAGAATAAAATGCTGAGCGGAGAGCGCGCTTTTATGTTGAACACATAATAGATTGTTTACTATCCAATCAGGGTTAAAAGAGCCCGGGCAAGTCTAGGCAAGCCTATTGTTCCTATTGTAGTAGAGTGACGCTCATTAGTAAACCTAATCCAAATTAGTATGCAGGAAGACACTTCTTTCCGAGGTGACGTCATAGGCTTATGCATATCAATTAAGGGAAGGCATACGGAAGGCAAGGGAAGGCACCAAAGGGGGTTAAGTTTCAACATAGTATACTACTTTTATCGAAAATCGGAGTTTGGTTTTTGAAAATCGGAGTTTATTTTTTGACAATCGGAGTTTGTTTTTTGAAAATCTGAGTTTGTTGTTTTGAAAATCGGAGCTAGTTTTTTTGAAAATCGGAGTTTGTTTTTTTGGAAACGAGTTTGTTTTTGAAAATCGGAGTCTGTTTCTTTGAAAATCGGAGTTTGTGTTTTTGAAAATCGGGGTTTGTTGTTTTGAAAATTGGAGTTTGTTTTTTTTGAAAATTGGAGTTTGATTTTTTGAAAATCGGAGTTTGTTGTTTTGAAAATCGGAGTTTGTTGTTTTGAAAATCGGAGTTTGTTTTTTTAAAAATGGGAGTTTGTTTTTTTGAAAATCGGGGTTTGATTTTTTGCAAATCGGAACTTTCTTTTATGAAAATCCGAGTATTGGCCCCAGATTCTGCTCTGTGCTTCTGCTCTTGAATTGGAACAAAATCAGTGCCGGATCCAGGGGAGGGGCCCGGGGGACCTGCCCCCCCTTATTTTTAGACCGAACTGAGGCCTGAGACCGAGAGGCCGCCCCCCTCCCCCTTATCTGAAGGTCTGGAAGATCTATTTAAGTCTTTAAAACTTCGTATACGTGCTTGTTAAGCATTTAATGATTAATCTTGACAAGCACTTAACTCTCTCTCTCTTTGCACGAGTCTTCTGACCTGGCTGTCAGCCATCTTGGTTGAACTTTCTTGGTACTTAAGATGAGCAGAGACTGGGGCAAAAGTTAAAAACAAACTCCGGTTTTCAAAAAACAAACTCCGATTGATTTAACGATAAATACATACTCCTATTTTCAAAAAACAAACTCCTATTTTCTATAAAGACAAAGACCTATTTTCAAAAACAAACTCCGATTAAGCATTAACATTGATGTTCCTGGGGCTTTCGTACAATTTAGATGATTTTGGCCGAGATATTGTAGAGCGATGGTCTTGGATTTAAGCCGTAGAGTAGAAGCGTTTTTGCAAATAGAACTTACTCCAACGTGGGAAGGAAGTATATGCTTTTTCAGTGGACAAAAAAACTCACGAGCGAAAGAGAGAAACGAATTTTTAAGCGGGACCTCTTAGAGTTTCCCAACGTAATTATCGTTAATTACCGAAGAAAAGAGGTTAATCAAATTGGCAGTGCTCCATTTGCAAAGGAATGATCTGGAAGACAAAGGTAATTTTTTTGTATTTTTATTTCCATGCTGGGAAGGGCGAGATTTGCAGATAGGAGTTTAAGTTTGTCAAAACTAAGATCTAAATAAGTCAGCCTTTCAGTCTCAAGCGGGTACTAGTTTCCAGGTACATCACACAACGTGCTGTATTGCAAATTATTTTATTTATCCCACATTTCGTTGTAAAATTTCCTTTGTTTAATACTGTTGGAAATTTTTCTAAGTGTCCACTGGTACCGCGCGTGCGCGAAATCAAATTCTGGCCATGCAAACTTCAAAACCTCCTGTTCCTGGCGATCGGTCGAACTCAGAAGAAACTGTTCGCCCATTGGGCACAATAATACAAAGCATTTTTTGTGCCCAATCAGGAGCAGGCATCTGCTTGAATTTTTGGAAATAGCTCGGTGAGAGTCCGTACCCAGGTGCTCTTTTGCCCGTACTCGCAAACTTTCGTCCCTGGCCTTTTCCGACCCGACTGACTGCCCCTGGGTCTCCGAGGATGGTAATATCTTTGCTGGCTAGAAAAAAAATCATTGATAATAGAGAACATGTGCCATTTCACCCCCGGGGAGGGAGGGGGGGTACTCCCACATATGGGCTATATAGGTACGTGCCGCGGAATAGGGTTTGGTTTTTGAGGTTCTCGGTCCTTAAATAGGGTATCTTTTTTGACCCTTTTGTTTCTGTGTCCCTGGTGTGGTCCTTAGATAGGGTAGCTTAATTGTATTATCTAATACTGGGGTGTGAAAACGCCCGCCTAAAAGAACATTTTTTTTTTTTTTTTAACTAGGCTTATTCCAGTATTTTAAGCTTGATGCTATACATCCAATGTTACAGAGAAGAAATAAAGTTTTCCTTTTCATGCTATTAATAATTTTGTGTTTTCCTTGAATAGGGTGTCATTTTTCGGCTTTCGGCCTTAAAAAGAGTATCAGTTTTCGCTTTCTCAGTCCTTAAATAGGGTTAGGGTTCACGAACCTTCGCGGCACACCACTATCCAAAATTCGCGGGAGTACCCCCCCCCCACGGGCATTTCACTCATCATAGAATAGAGTTGGCTGAAGTAAATTTCCTAGGCCGGGACGACCAATCAGAAGCACTACCAAGATCCGGGTAGTGGCATGTCATCAGTATGGAATTTTAGCACTTGTTGCTCAGACCTCACGAGAAACCAGCGGTGGCGTGGCAAAACATCTGCTGTTTTCTGAGGCTGACAAATGTTGGCTAGTTTTATATCTAATTTTTCAAATCTATTTTGAAAGTTGGGACGTTTGTTCCGTTTGTTTTATGGTATCAAAGATAATCTGGCTAAAAATATATGGAATTGACTTGGGCCTTGCTGCCAGTCAGCGGATCCATAAGTTTAATGAGTAGGATCGGGATGGTGTCGGTTTGTATGATGGATTAGCGGTATTTCCAAAGTCATATTTATATTTAGTTCTAGAACTTTTGTCCATCGCAGTTATTCCAATCCCGTGATCAGCACGTGCACAGCCTGAACCTCCACCACCAATCATCATGATAGATCTAAATACATATACTGGAGTTCCAAATCCATAGCCACACCAGAAGCCGATCTTGTTGCTGCTTTGGATGTTGCCTACACTGCACTCAGCCTGTTGAAACCCGTCTGTTGTCTTGTACTGTCCGCCATATTGAACCGTACAGCTTCCCTTGCACCTGTGTTTGGACGAAAACTTGCCATTTCTAAAGTCGCCATAACTTGTGATTTTTGATCGAAATGTTTGTCCACCCAAACAGTTCCCTGTGGTCTGCAACAGTGGCGTATGACTGGAATCATCACTGCGCGTGATCCTAAACTCGCTGCCGCTGACCAACCAGAAAGCTGGTGAGATCATGTCCGTATTATTTGAAGGATCGCTTGTTGTTCCTATAGTAACGTTTTGGTCATACCACCAAAGTCTATCATCATTTATCCAGGACACTTTATCAAAGTTAGAAAATCTTGCAATAAGAGTCCATGGTTTACCTTTGGCTGTGACGTCACAATAGACCTGCAGATAAAGAGTTAATTTTTATCTATTAATTTTTTTTCCGGGGCATATTCCCTACAATGGCCTATACGGGGAGGCCCCTCCTCCAGTAAAGGGTACCTATTACAGGCCTCAGGGTGGGGAATCTGTTATTTCAGTTAATGAGAGGCCCAAAAGAGGAAACAAATGCATTTTATCGTTGTGAGACAATCAGGGAAACATTCTGGTCTTGAGAATTAATCATTTAAAATACATTGCCTTTAAAAGTTAAAAGGGATGCAAAGTTGCAAAAACTGGTCTGTGAAAAGGGGTACCATTTGTCATTATAAGGTATATGAAAGGGGGACCTTTTCTGTAGAAAATGGTGGGTAAAAAGGGAAAATGGTTGGACCTCGGGGCGGAGCCTCCCCGGATAAAACTTTGTTGAGTACCCCCCCGGTTTTTTTCCCTAGGAAAAAATCTTTCTATGTAAAAGCGGACCTGAATTGTGGACTGAAATATCTAGGCTGTCTGTGTCACGTGGTCAGGATGCACCATCGCGTTATTTACGCTTGAAAGAGTTTGCTTACGCACTCAAAATCATAGATTTAACAGTGAGAACCACACTGATCGGTAATCATGAAAAAGTCAATAGCCCTCTAATAAAGCTTACCTCAAATTGTAGCGATTTCACTTTTAGCTGGTATATTCCATCTGTTGTAATAGCTTCACATGACGAGTGTTGAACTGAACAAAAATAATATAGCACGTTTGGAAAAAGATTGGAATGCACCGCAATATCATAGGTAGCACACTGTTTATATTATGAGGGGCACCCAACGACGGGTTCCTCCTAATCCACTGACAACACTTTTTGAGCTACCCAGAGTACTTATAGATCTCTAGAAATACATTCTAAGCGGTGCCATAAAATTTGTATCTATTCAGTGATTCTAGGAGAACTTGAGTCTTTTCGAAATTACATGCCTTCAGTATTATTTTCCCGAAGATTTTATATTCAATTTAAGGTAATACGAAAGTGAGAATTTTACTGATTCCTCTCTCCATCACCTCTTTGAATCCGAAAATTCAAGGTTTCCTTTCTTCTACGAAAAGTAGCCTAACCTGGCGGGTGATATGTGAAAAATAAAAAAAAATCGTAGGGAATTTATTAGATAAGCTTCGAAAATTGTATAGGTAATGGAGCGGTCATCTGTAAATTTTTAGCTGTCTTCAGCAGAAGAAAATTCTAGGCCGCATCTGCCTCTCCGAACAGATATTTTACAGCAAACAGTCGCTGGGTGCCCCTGTATTATGTTAGCCTCGATCTTTGCCGACTTTTGTGATATATTTACTTTGCTCAATCGATTTCAGCGCAGCCTGTGTTGCATAGGCTGGTTTCTTTAAGGCTGGAAGGGAGAAATCTCAAGTAAGATCTCGTGTGCAAGGGGAGAAAAGGACTTCCCCTCGCGTGTGTGGCCTTTAAAAAACCTAATAATAACCTTTTGCAAGTTCAAATTTCCTGTCGCAGATAATTCAGAAATAAATGTGTGAAATATAATGACATGTCATTTTAGTTGTCACGTCCTCTGTGATTGAAGCGAAATCTTAATGAAGTCTATGATAGCTTTTAAGAATATAGGACAAAAGGGAACCTTTAAACTAAAACTCTTACTGAATAGGAACCTAAGAGCACTGACATGAAACCATCACTGTACAAAAACAGCAAAAACAACAACTATTACTACTACTGCTGCTGCTACTACTACTGTTATTACCACAACTGATTGTAATATAGACATATAACCGCTTAAACTGTAAGGAAATATTGCCATACCAGCATAAATAATAAATGATAATGAAAAACAAATAACGCTCTCGCTGTGAATAAATTACATAGTATATGCTTACCCAGTTCGCATCTTTCTCCTCCCCATGGCTGTTTGCATGAACAAGCAAAAGTTTCCTTTTCTTGGTCAAAAATACAAGAACCTTTATTTAGGCATCCGTTCACAAGACAGCCCCGCTGAAAACGAAAAATAAATATCCAACTGATATGATTCTACAACCAAAGCACTTAGCCTTTTATCTATCATTCAGAGAGTTTAAATTTTCGCAGAGATCTTTTATCCACGGAAAAGAGAAGAGAAAATCTTTCAGTTGAGGATTGAAAATTAAACTTAACATGTAAATTCCAGATACGTTTGTTTTTCCTAGCATAGGTAACACCGTACAGCTACTCATCCTTCACAACCCTAACCCTAACCCTAGACTACAAGCAGTCCCCATTTTTCCTTAGGGATAGTAAAGCGAGGGAAAGGTGAGCGCGCGTGCTCGCGAGAGGTGATTTTCATGCGCGCTCGCTTTTCGCTCGCTCTACTATCCCTGAGGAAAAATGGGGACACCCGTAGTCTACCCTAACCCTAACCCTTCAAGTAATTCAAAAATTACAACAGCTGTTCAATGTCATGTTATTAGATATAAATTTGGGAAAGACCAGCCGCGCTGCCATAGGATAGTAAAATGAAAGTAATTCGTAATGAACGCTTGCTATGAACCAAAGCTAGATAATGTTGTGACTGTATCTCTCGAAACCCCTCATCATATCAAGAGAGCAGAAAGGGGCGAAGACTAAACGTAACAGTGTTTTACACATTGACCAAGGCACAGGGGCACCCAACGAGGATATAGCATTGTTGAACGTATTTTAGTATTCAAACGGTAGATATAGGCATATTTTTATCCCCTAAAAACTTTTCATCTGTTCGGATTTCCTAGCTGAAAGTTTAGTGATCCGAAAATTATAGGGATAAAAACTTACCTTCTCGAAAATTTCAGCCAGGAAAAGGCTTCCGAAAATTCTAGGTGGCCTTTTTTAGGGTCAAACTCCGTTAAAAATGGGTAATTATACCATTTTGTAGATGTTCGAAAATCCTAGGAGAGGCAGGCAAGCAAGAAATTTTACAACAAATGCTCCGAAAATTCTAGATCTCAAATCGTCTTCCGAACAGATATTTTCCCGAAAATTGCCGTTGGGTGCCCCTGAAGGCAACGTTTATAGCTTCTTACCTTAAGGAACATTGTAAAGGTAGTGCCTAGTTGTTGAGTAAGCTTTCCGGAATCGAAGTTTATTGCAGAGAAGTCGTGCTTGTTTAGTTCACAATTTCCACTGCTACTTTTTTCAAGGAAGGCCTCTTTAAAGTTGATAGAGGTACACCAGGGGTGTCTTAAACACTCCTGAACGCATGACATTAGACTAGGCGAATTAGTTTCTTTAACAACTTGACCTGCAAAATACTTGTTTTCCCTTATTATTAAGTAGCCAGATCTGTAGTTTTCGTCTGCTGCAATTACCGTCGCAGCTATGCAACAACTGATGAGTGAAAGAAACATGTTACACGAGACTTTCCGAACTAAATGTTTATAGTGGTGGTGTACGTGAGATATTAATTGTAAAGTTGTCATTTTTAATCGTAGAATTTACATCGGGTTCTTAGATATCACTTAGCAGAAGTCGATAATCGGAACTTGATTGACGTTTCTTAAACTTTGTTACATCTCATTTCATTAAAACTAAACTAAATAAAATTGCGAGGGAATCATTTTTGTTCTTCGAAAGTAATGTGAGAAAGACAGATAATTTAAAACATAATTAGGGTGTAATGTTGTCAATATAGCCGAGGGAGACCCTCTACAGACAGGAAACATTTTAAAAAATTATTATTTCATGGCAAACCCCTAGCCACTGACATATATTGTGCAAACTGTCAGAATATTTTTATTACGTTTTATGCAAAAAGTTTGGCAAACATTCCAAATTTTTAGTGTTAGTTTAAGCTGATTTATTTAATAAACACATGTTACAATTAAATAAGCTAATTAAACAAGGTGAATCGTTGTTCACTAATTGTGCAAGCTGTTGGCTAAACATTTTTAGCATAACATAGATAATAGTAATGTGTTTTTTATTAGGCCTCTATCACCACGCTGACCTAAGTGTAAATTTGAAAACAATTAAAGGCCATTGCTATAACAAATGAAGAAGACTTGACTGTGTTCTGATCTGTTGTAGAGCACGTACGAGAGGTGGCTGGAGCACGATAGAAGTGTAGGGGGAATCACGAGACGTAGTCGAGTGTTTCTCCCTACTTTTTGAGTGCTCCTAAATACTTTACAACAGAACAGAACATATTCAAGGCTTACTATTTGTTTTATGATCAGAATCAGGAGCCCATGTCAGAATCCGTTAAATTCCCCGCGGATTGCTTTCTAATTTTCAAAACAAACAGACTGCGTGACATGTTAAGTTGTTCCTTATTTTATACCCTCAATTACAGCACACTTTTTCAACCTATCAGATTCCGCGCTATATCTGAACTTTATTATAAACAATGTTAATTTAATAATATCAGTAGCGTAAAAATTCCAGAGGAAAATATAATTAGGCTCAGTCTATCAAAGAGAAACTTTGGCACTAATTTTGGAAGAGAGGCAGGTAACGAATAAACCGGCTTTTTGTGTTTCAACAAAACTGTGACGACTTAGTCTTTGAGACTTTAAACATAAGGACGTAGCAAGTTCAATTATTTCCTTTCTACTGATTTCACCTCAAATTGCCTCTTGTTTATGACGATTAATCGATCGCAGCAAATTTAGCCAATTTAGATGATTTTTTGCCGAGACCTTGTAGAGCGATGGTCTTGGACACTGCTTGGATATAAGCCGTGGAGTAGAAGCGCTTTTGCAAATAGAATTGTCTCCAAATTTTTCAAACGTGGGAAGGAAGAATATGCTCTTTCAGTGGACAAAAAAACTCACCAGAGAAAGATGAGACTTTGTACCTGAAGTTTTAAGAGGGACCTCTTAGAGTTTCCCAACGGAATTGTCAAATGAGGAGGAGGAGAAGGGTAATCAATAGAAATGTGGTTGTGGCGGTGGTGAAAAACAATAGAAATGAGTTGGTGATGGTGGTGGTGGTGGAGGAAAACAAAAGAAATGTGGTGGTGAAGGACAAAAACAATAAAAATGAGGAGGAGGAAATGCAGATGTAGGGAGGTCGATGTAGGGTCGATGAGTGGGGTCGATGTGGTGGAGGAAAATAGGAATAAAAATAAAATGAAAAGAAAAAAATTAATTGTAGAGGAGCAGGAGGCATGGGTAAGTAAAACATTGTCTTCCGTTCTAAAAAGAGCTATTTATATTGCATTTAAGGCTGGTATAGCTTGCTTCTCAAAGATATTCTGGGAACCTGGATTTACCAGATTTGTCACGAGTACCCTGTTTAACCAGGCTAATTTTGCCCAGTTGCTTCAAGCCTAGTTAAAACCCTTGTTAATTCAGTGCTTCAAGAGCCAGGTTTAGCCTGGTTTTCCTGGTTATTAAATGAGAAACCAGGCTAGCCAGAAAAACACTGGTATACCAGGATAACCTGGTTCATTGACTTACTTTAAGAGCCTTTAAAGCCTGGTTTACCAGTCTTACCAAGCTAACCAGGAATACCCTGGTTAACCGCGGGTCGGTAAATTTACAACCACTAGCCACCTCCACTTCGGTGAATAATTGTTATTTATTAACCATAACCATAACACGTTGCCTACAAAGCCAATGCCCACCACAATCCCGTACAGAGACCCTGTACTGTCGCAATTTGTAATAATCATCGCACTTTGTAATACCTGTCGCAATTTGTAATATACCGTGTCGCACTTTGTAATAAAAAAGCTGTCGCAATTTGTAACAACCGTCGATCGCACTTTGTAATAAACTAAGCTGTCGCAATTTGTAATAATTCCATCGCACTTTGTAATGACTTTTTGAGAGTAATTGAACTTACTTCGTCAACATTAATATAATGCCAAAATATGCATGGTACTTCATAAACAAAGATGATTACGTCTGCTGGCACGTAACACCTCCGCTCATTCAAACGTTTAACTTTATTCACAGTCCTAAACATTTTTTTCAGATTAATGTTGATTAGTTATCTGACTTACGAAATCCTGTACTCTTAAACCTTGCTATTGTACTAGGTGGTTTTCATTCAGTGGTTACCCGGCGGGTGTACTTCCTTATATGGCCAATACGGGGATGTGCCTCTAGACAGAGCATTGTCAGAGTACAAGATCTAGACAGAGCTAGACACACTAGACACAAACGAACCATTATTAAAAAGCATTTACTTTCCGCAAATCGTAACATCCATCCTACATCATTCGAATAAGGACACCACGAGAGTTCAAGCTTTCCTTGTTAGATCTTATAACAGGTTGATACAACACGTTGTGCACCGTCCTTGTCTAACGCGCAATCTTAAAGAAGTAATAGTGGCTTCCATATTTTGGCCAACTTAATCAAACGAGGCCTGCAAAGATTCAAAATGTTTACTGCAAATAAAAAAAAACGTCACCAGTGGCAAACCGTCGAACCACAACAGAAACCTAAAAACAAAATCCAATTAGTCGCTGGCCAACACCTTCGTATGTACCTGTTTTTATAACACTCACTTGGGGTCTTACACTGAGCCGGCTGGGCATTTGGCCCATTATTCTCACTTGATTTGGTCCCATATAGGAACAAAAGGAGTACTCATTCCATCTTAAAACAATTGTTTTCTATAAGGAGTCCTCTAAAGCAAATACCATGGGGCCGGGATAGTAAAAAATTATCCTTCCCTGCGTATATACAACTCTTTCGAGCGTGTTCTGGATTACTGTTTTTCCACAAAATGGAAAGGATGGAATAAGCCATCCATTACTACTTGAGTTACCCTATCTAAGGATCAAACCAAAGACACAAGGCCAACAACGTAAAAAATGATACCCTATTAAAGGCTCGAGATCCGCAAAAACCATACCCTATCAGGCGGTACTTACCTATCTAGCCCATCCATATATGGGATTATCCCCCCGAAGACTTCACGTGTCACGTGGCAAGCAAACATGGATTTGGACGACGAATGCCAGGTTATTCATGAATTTTCTGTTGTTAAATGTTGCTTTTGTTATTTAAATATTCTTGAATTTAAACATGATTCATATCTTTTTGGTGATATGTCACAGGAAGTTTCATGTCTTTCATAAAAGCTTTTCTAGTTGGTCACGTGATTGATCAAGGCAGAAAAATTTATAGCGGTAGACATGCATGTTTGACCAAAGAAAATGTTACGGAGATGTTACGTGCTGGCAGACGTCACCATCTTTGTTTATGAAGTAGCATATTTTGGCATTATATTAATGTTAACGAAGTAAGTTGAATCACTCTCAAAAAATTATTACAAAGTGCGATGGAATTATTACAAATTGCGACAGCTTAGTTTATTACAAAGTGCGATGGACTGTTATTACAAATTGCGACAGTACAGACCCTCCTTAAAGCTAGCTTTTTTTCTTGTCCTCTGATAAGAAGTTCACATCCTCTTGTGACACGCCTGAGTTTAGCCTCCCACGCAGGCGTTTTTAGGGGAGCTCGTTTTTCATCCCTCCCCACAAACGCCTGCTCAGCCGAAGACAACATTCCTTTCCCAAGCTTAGCCAATCACATGGTACTTTCCAAATTCTGGAAAGTTGACCTTGACCGCAAGGTAATCTGATAATTACTCGATCTGCATGAAACACTGGAAAAATTTTCTAACCTCCAATAAATGTTAGATTCAGAGCGGCAAAAATAAGATTCAATCCAATTTGAGAATACTCCATGCACTTCATAACCTTAACGAAGGAAAGAAAAGAAGGAAAACCTGTAGGGTCACGTTTTAGTCGCGTTTAGCCTGTCAACACTTTATTGCACAACTGTTGATTGGTCACTTACCATGCAAATAAAACAATGGAAAGGAATGTTGTTTTCGGTTGAGCAGGCGTTTGTGGGGAAGGATGAAAAACGAGCTCCCCTAAAAACGCCTGCGTGGGAGGCTAGCCTGAGTTTGGCTGAAGCAAATTTCCTACGCGAGACGACCAATCAGAAGCACTAACCAGATCGGGGTGGTGGCGCGTCACCAGTACGGAATCACTCCGCACTCGTTGCTCAGACGTCACAAGAAACCAGCAGTGGCGTGGCAAAATATCTGCTGTTTTCTGACGCGGACAAATGTTGGCTAGTAATATACCTTATCTGTTTTTTTTCATCTATTTTGAAAGTTGGGACGTTTGTTTATAGTATCAAATATAATCCGGCTAAGAATATATGGAATTGGTTTGGGCCTTGCTGCCAGTCAGCGGATCCATAAGTTTAATGAGTAGGATTGGGATGGTGGTGGATATGATGAATTAGCGCTATTCCCAAAGTCATATTTATATTTAGTTCCGGAACCTTTTGCTTTCGCAGTTATTCCAATCCCGTGATCAGCATGTGCGCAGCCTGAACCTCCACCACCAATCATCATGATAGATTTAAGTACGTATTCTAGAGGTGAAACTCCATAGCTACACCAGAAGCCGATCTTGTTGCTGCTTTGGATGTTGCCTACACTGCACTCAGCCTGTTGAAACCCCTCTGTTGTCTTGTACTGACCGCCATATTGAACCGTACAGCTTCCCTTGCACCTGTGTTTGGACCAAACCTTGCCATTTCTAAAGTCACCATAACTTGTGATTTTTGATCGAAATGTTTTTCCACCCAAACAGTTTCCTGTGGTCTGCAACAGTGGCGTGTGACTGGAATCATCACTGCGCGTGATCCTAAACTCGTAGCCTCGAACCAACCAGAAAGCTGGTGAGATCATGTCCGTATTATTTGAAGGATCGCTTGTTGTTCCTATGGTAACGTTTTGGTCATACCACCAAAGTCTATCATCATTTATCCAGGACACTTTATCAAAGTTAGAAAATCTTGCAATTAGAGTCCATGGTTTACCTTGATCTGTGACGTCACAATAGACCTGCAGATAAAGAGTTCATTTTTAGTTTTATTTATTTTTTCCGGAGGGTATTCCCTATAATAGGGACCTTACTAAACTATGACGGCGACGGCAACGGGAACCTCAAAAAAGCAATAGGTTAAATGAGCAAAACAACAACTCTGCAAGTGCATCATGCTTTTTGTACATTTCTTTGCAGCCCCTACATAACTATGACGTAAAATGACTAAATCTTGAACGGGAACGCTAAGGCGATAAATTCTGCCATCTATGTCAGAACTTGGGCGCGGTCGCTTCTTTTCAGCTTCAACCCAAATCCCCTTCTTTTAAATAACTGAGCCACTTGGAATAATCGCGAAATAAATTGAAAGGATGTGAAGTCTATTTTTCAGCGACGTTTTCATGGACGTCGCCGTTGTCGGATCGTAAGTTCCCTATTGACCTGTACGGGGAGGCCCCTCATCCGGTAGGGGTACCTATTACAGGCCTCAGGGTGGGGAATCTGTCATTTCCGGTTGATGGAAGGTCCATAAGAGAAACCAAATGCATTTTATCGTTGTCAGACAGTCAGAAAAACTTTCTGGTTTGTGATTATCATTTAAAATACATTGCCTTTAAAAGTTAAAAGGGATGCAAAGTTGTAAACTTGGTAAGTGAAAGGGGTACCATTTGTCATTATAAGGTATATGAAAGGGCGGGGGGTACCTTTTCTGTCAAAATGACGCGTAAAAGGGAAAGGGGTCGAACCTGTGTAAAAAGGTTTGTTGAGTAGCCCCCCGATTTTTTTTCTCTTGGAAAAGGAATTTCGATATAATCATAATAGCAGACCTGAATTGTATACGGAAATACTTAGGCTGTCTGTATAGCGAGGTCAGGATGCACCATGGTATTATGTACACTTGAAAGAGTTCGCTTACGCACTCAAAATCAGAGATTTAAGACAGAGAACCAGACTGATCGGTAATCATGAAAAATTTAATAGCCTCTGATAAAGCTTACCTCAAATTGTAGCAATTTCACTTTTAGTTGGTATATTCCATCTGTTGTAACAGCTTCACATGACGAGTGTTGAACTGAACAAAAATAATAAACCCCGTTTAAAAAAGACTGGAATGCATCGCAATATCATAGGTCGCACACTGTTTAAATTCTGTTAGCCTCGATCTTTACCGAACTTTGTAGGCTCAATCGAGGTCAACGTAGCCTGGGTTGCAGGGGCTGGTTTCTTTAAGGGTGGAAGTGAGAAATCTCAATTAAGATCACGCGTGCAAGGCGAGAAAAGGAGTTCCCCTCGCGTGGCCTTTAAAAAACCTGATAATAACCTTTTTCAAGTTCGATTTTTCAGTCGCAGATAATTCAGAGATAAATATGTGAAATATAATGACATATTGCCATTATAGTTGTCACGTCCTCTGTGATTGAAGCGAAACCTTAATGATGTAGCAGAGTTTTTTGGTCGCAAAACAGCTAAACTTATAATATAGCTTGTAATCTTTTCAGAATAAGGGACAAAAGGGAACGTTTAAACTAAAACTCTTAAAGAAGCTAAGAGCACTGACATGAAACAATCACTGTACAACAACAACATTTACTGCTACTACTACTACTACTACTACTACTACTACTACTACTACTACTACTACTACTACTACTACTACTACTACTACTACTACTACTACTACTACTACTACTACTGCTACTACTACTGCTACTGCTACTGCTACTGCTACTGCTACCGCTAATGCTACTGCTACCGCTACTGCTACTGCTACTGCTACTGCTACTGCTACTGCTACTGCTACTGCTACTGCTACTGCTACTGCTACTGCTACTGCTACTGCTACTGCTACTGCTACTGCTACTGCTACTGCTACCTCTACCGCTACTGCTACTGCTACTGCTACTGCTACCGCTACCGCTAATGCTACTGCTACTGCTACTGCTACTGCTACTGCTACTGCTACTGCTACCGCTAATGCTAATGCTACCGCTACCGCTAATGCTACTGCTACTGCTACTGCTACTGCTAATGCTACTACTATTGCTAGCTACTACTACTGCTACTGCTACTACTACTGCTACTGCTACTGCTAATGCTACTGCTATTGCTACTGCTATGCCTACTAGTCAATTTACCGGGCCGACAACAAATTAATTGTAACATAAACATATAACCGCTTAAGCCACGGTAAAGAAATACGGCCATAGCAGTATAGATTTCCAAATGATAATGAAAAACAAATAACGATCTTGCTGTGAATAAAATTGCATAGCGTGTACGCTTACCCAGTTCACATCTTTCTCCTCTCCATGGTTGTTTGCATGAACAAACAAAAGTTTCCTTTTCTTGGTCAAACATACAAGAACCTTTATTTAAGCATCCGTTCACAAGACAGCCCTGCCGAAAACGAAAAAATAAATATCCAACTGACATGCTACAACCAAAGCATTTAGCTTTTTATCTATATCAGAGAGTTTATTTTCGAAGAGATCTCTAATACCTACAGAAAAGAGAAGCGAAAATCTTTTTGCGGATTGTCACATATAAATTCCAGATCGGAACGTTGTTCTTTTGTCAGTACCATAGGCAACACCGTACAGCGACTCATTCTTCACAACCCTAACCCTAACCAACCCTTCAAATAATTTACAAAAATTACAACATCTATTCAATATCATGTTGTTAACTATAAATTTGAGAAAGACCAGTGCGCTGTCATAGGAACTTAGTTAAATTATATGAAAGTAATTCGTGATTGGCTTGCTATGCCACCAAAGCTAGATCATGTTTTGACTGTATCTCTCAAACCCCAAACTATCAAGAGAGAAGAAAGGGACAATAAGCCCAGCTACAAAAATCCGGATTTTTTTTAGGATTTTTAGAGTCACTTGGGATTTTTAGAAAATTTTAAGAAAATTTAGGAATTTTAGACGATAATATAATGTTTAGAAAAATACAGTTGTCATGTTTTTGCAATTGGCCTCGGTCATGCCACATGAAATGTCAAACTACTGACATTTCACGAGACAAACCACTACATTGTTTAGTAAATAAATTATCATTTGGAATCGTTTTAAGGTGTTTGCAGGCAATTTGACCGAGGACCTGTGGTCAAATTTCACAGGTCACAAGAATCCCGCATTTTATGCAAATTTTGTGATTATATTTCGAAAAAAAAATTGGGATAAATCGGGATTTTCAGAATACATTTCGAGAGTTTTAGAGATAAAATTGGGATTTATACACATTTTTATAATTTGCCATAGATTTTTAGCCCATTCTACGGGATTTTTGTAACTAGACCTAAGGGACGAAGGCTGAACGTAACAGTTTTTTTACACATTGACCAAGGCAACGTTGTAGATTTTCTTACCTTAAGGAACATTGTAAAGGTAGTGCCTAGTTGTTGAGTAAGCTTTCCGGAATCAAAGTTTATTGCAGAGAAGTCGTGCTTGTTTAGTTCACAATTTCCACTGCTACTTTTTTCAAGGAAGGCTTCTTTAAAGTTGATAGAGGTACACCAGGGGCGTCTTAAACACTCCTGAACGCATGACATGAGACTGGGCGAATTAGTTTGTTTAGCAACTTGACCTGCAAAATACTTGTTTTCCCTTATTATTAAGTAGCCAGATCTGTAGTTTTCGTCTGCTGCAATTACCGTCGCAGCTATGCAACAAATGATGAGTGAAAAAAGCATGTTACACGAGACTTTCCGAACTAAAAGTTTAAAGTGGTGGTGTACGTGAGATTTTGATTGTGAAGCTGTCATTTATAATCATGAAGAATGTACATTTCGTTCTTAGATATCACTTAGCAAAAGTCGATAATCGAAACTTGATTGACGTGTTTTAAAGTCTGTTACATCTCATTTTATTAAAACTAAACTAAATAAAATTGCGAGGAAATCATTTTTGTTCTTCGAAAGTGATGTGAGAAAGACAGATAAATTAAAACACAATTAGGGTGTAAGGTTGTCAATATAGCCGAGGGAGACCCTCTACAGACAGGAAACATTTAAAAAAAATATTATTTCATGGTAAACCCCTAGCCACGGACATTTATTTTTATTACGTCTTATGAAAAACGTTTGGCAAACATCCCAAATTTTTAGTGTTAGTTTAAGCTGATTTATTTAATCAACACATGTTGCAATTAAACAAACTGATTAAACAAGGTGAATCGTTATTCACTTGCTGTGCAAGCTGCTGGCTAAACATCTTTAGCATAACAACGATAATAGTGATGTGTGTTTTTTTGAATTAGGCCCATATCACCACGCTGTCCTAGGTGTAAATTCGAAAGAACTTACAGGCCATTGCTATAACAAATAAAGAAGACTTGACTGTGCAAATTTCCGCTGTAGTGAATGCCTACAGGCTTTCTAATTTTTAAAAGAAACTTTTGGCAGGCGGCATGACAGCTTTAATTCCGTTTTTTATACTGTGAATTGAAGCACGTTTTTTCAACCGATCGGAGTGCGCGTTATAACTAAACTTTATTGTGATCTTTTTTAACATGATAATATCAGTACCGTAAAATTCGAGAGGAAAAAAACGTTGGCTGATACTATCAAAGAGAAACTTTGGCACTGATCTAGGAAGTGAGGCAGGAATCGAATAAACCTGCCTTTTGTGTTTTAACAAAACACGACTTTTATGAGCCTCTAAACGAAAGGACGCAGCAAGTTAAATTATTTCCTTTCTACTGATTTCACGTTAAAACCTCTTGTTTATGGCGATCAATCGATTGCAGTAAGTTAAAATATTTCTTTGCGACTGATTTTAGAAAAACTTCAAGACCTCCTGTTTCTTGCGATCGGTCGTACTGACATACGCCTTAAAGGAGCTGTGTCACGAAATTCAGCCAAATTAGGAAATTACAAAATGCCCTTTAAATTAAGAGAAACATAAAAATAGCCACTTAAAACTTTAAAGGAAGGTTAAAACAACGTAACAGAAACAACAGATGCCACGGATGGGGAAAACTGAAGAGGACTGAAACGGATTGAAATTAGGGTTTTTGAAAACTGCTCAGCCTAACAGTTTTTCAAAGTTGGTCCCTGCTGCTTGCAACTTCAAAAACAATGCTCAGGAGACATATTTCTTTGTCTCGGATCTCTGATTTTGTCATTTACGTGTAGTTTCTTTGCTTACTTTAAGTTCCATAGCGATTGAGGGCGAGTAATTGGCAAAATTAAACAAAATGAACTGGACTGCCGCGACACATCCCCTTTTAACTCATTTGGATTATAATTTTAACAACACGTGAGCTTCTTTTGATTGTTTGACTTGGCCATAAACACATGATCCTGAGTCCTTTATTAGTGACTGAATGCTACAAGGATGCTCGATCACAACGCGCCGGGAAAAAAAAACGTCGTAATAATCCTGTAACACAGCAACTACAACGAGGGCGGAGACATACAGTGTCGATCAAACACATGTCATTGTCCGCAGGGGGTACCTGTCCCCATAACACTTTGGGAAGACTCTGAAAACTTCAAACCGAGGTTACCTCTGTTATTCTGTGATTTCTATGGAGAGGAGAAACTCGTTTCGACATGTTGCCATGGGAGCAAGATTTCTGGATCTCAACAAACCGTGGTCCTCTAAATATAGCAGAAAGGAAAACCGAAAAAATTGACATGACTTTCCGGTGCATGATTGCAATCAGGAACAACTTTTGTCCTAACGTTCGATAATGCAAATGGCCGTCTCTATCAAGAGAGTTTGTTGCGATACAGAGATTTTGCTACCATGGTAAAGTGACGTCGTACTTCTCCTCTCTTTATATCGGAGAAAGATGGGTGGCAATTGCGGCAATCATGTCAAAACACAAGAGGATAGGTCCGCTATTACCCTTAAGGTTTCAGCTCTTAAAGTGTGTTCGTATTACCTTATGTCTGGAATAAGGATACAAAATTAATCCTGTGCCGGTGAAAATGTATCGAGCAGAGAATTATAGAGGGGAAGGGACCCTGTTAGTCAGACAACGAGACAACATAGTAGTACCAAGTCAATGTGAGAGTACGAAGAATGTGATCATCGGACTGGGATCATTCAAAACTTTTAACAACAAAGCCACGGTGTATTAAGCCGAATCACAGCGGTGAATGGGAAAAAAAAATATACCCACCTAGAATGGCTTTCTGTTATGATAGCGGAGTGATTTTACTTAACTCGGGAAACAAGTAGTGGTCTTATACTACGCACTATTTTGCACTAATTCCATTGCCTTTTTTGTTTACCTCTTGCTGTTTTGCACTAAATGTTAATATCTGTTCACGGTTCAAGTAGAATCACTCTATTACCCTGCAGCTTAAAGAATAATTCTCCAGAATAAAAACGTTATGACGGTTCACGTCTCGCCATCACAATTCCGTTCAGTTTGTATTCGAGGAAATTTTTCACTTATTAAAAGCCGCTGGGCTAAACTGTTTTTAAAGCAGAGGCTTCAAAAAGTAAAACGTGGGGCTTTAAAATGGAATGGTCTGGCTAATTTTGTAGTTTTTATTGGCAAAGTAAACAAAAGAGTACTACAAAATCCTACAAACAATACCTACAACTCTACGCCTGCAATTCTTATACTTTGTAAGCAAAGTAGAAATTGACATAAATACCTTACAAGCACTATTCCACAAAAAGTAAAGCCTGTTTGCTGTATCAGACCAACAAGAGAGCAAATAGAAAATGCTTATATCAGACACAACTTACAGCACGTTACAACTTGATATTCCTTTTCGCTCGTTAAGTCACTTTTAACTTGTGTTTGGGTGTATTAGCGATATTTAATGGGATCAAAGGATCCATAGGTTTAAAGCGTAGCTCTGGGTTGGAGCATATTGTGCTTCAGCATCGAATCCAAAATCATATTCAGTTTGGAAGCTGCTTTCTTCAACAAAAGAAGCATAGTTAGCTTCTGTTATTCCAATCCCGTGATCAGCACGTGAACACAAATCTCCTCCTCCACCAATCATCAGGACGGACCCATCACCAGTACCCCAGTGACACCAGAAGCCGATCTTGTTGCTGGCTTGCAGATCACCATCGCACCAAGCCAGATCAAACCCGTCTGTTGAATAGTACTGACCAGCATACTGAATCATGCATCTTCCCAGGCATGCGTCGTTGGACCACACCGTGCCGTTTCTAAAGTCGCCATAACTTGTGATTTTTGAGCGGAATGTTTGTCCACCCAGACAGTTATTTTTAGTCCGCAATAGTGGCACGTGACTGGAGTCATCACTACGCGTGATCTTAAAATCGTTGCCGCTGGCCAACCAGAAAGCCGGTGAGATCATGTCAGCATTGACTGACGGATCAGGTGTTCCTATGGGGACATTTTGGTCATACCACCAGTGTCCATCGTCTCGCATCCAGTTCTTATCGTCACTGTTGGAAAATCTGGCGATAAGAATCCATGTGCTCCCTGGGTATTCTGGGATTGTAAAGTTCTCCCAAGCCTGATTTGTGGAAAAGAAATTATAGTCATTTTCAGTAGAATGGGAAAAAAACTAAGTAAAACTTCTTTCAAACACACAGACAAAATAAAATCAGAAAAATAGAATTTATGAAAACACTCGATAATAGCAATTATTATTCATTCAAAATATTTCTCCGTTTCTGATTGGTTAAAATTTATCATAACCAGCTATCAAATTTGGGAGAATTGAACGGATGACGTCACAAGTGAAGCCAAGCCGACGGTTGCAGATTATTGAACCGCTAACCGAGAAAACCTGGGGACCTGACCTGACCCAACACGAGTTTGAGTTGTTTTCGAAGTGAGTAATGGTGGAACATTTTACTCGTTTCACGGCGAACTATTGTCTACAAATATAGCAAGAACAGGAAGAAGACAACTCGAGCCTTGTCAGTAGCGCAATGGTCTTTAAAGACAAACTTAAAGCAAGGGTTGCCCGAAAGTAAAGGTGACAGCAACGTCAGGAGCCTGGGTCGAGGTGGGTAACGTCTCGTCAGCTCGGCTTTCAAAATTGACTTCAGGGAACTTAACGAGGAACGACGACGACAAAGGTGGTGAAAACGTCACTTAAAATTCTGTTCCAAAATTCTTCGCTCTTATTCCTTTTCGAACGATATTATGTCAAATGTTGTTGAATTTTTCTGAGTTTAATTCTAAAGGACTGATTCTAAGTTTAAAAGAAGAAAGAAAATCGTTTGTGTTAACAAGAAGTGTTGGTCATGCCGCATGTCGTGGTAGTGCAATGACGGGAACAAAATGTACGAAAATGCGTGATGCACGTGCTAAGCCGCCTAAGGCTATGTTCACACTTGAACTATACTGGATAGCTCTCGTGCCGAAATGAAAATCCATCCGGTATTACAGTATGAACACCTATCCAATATGTGACTCTCCGCTTTAGAGATCGAGGCGGTGCCGCTTCGCTCTGTCACATAAAAATCGCGCCGATATCACCGTTCTCATGTGTGAATAGAAGCCCTATCTGGTATGGTTTTCGTACCAGAGCAAAACCTATCCGGTATAGTGTAAACATAACCTAACAAGTGCGGATCCACACCAGTTTCCACTGTTTTACGGAAAGCGGTCAGATTTTTCATAATTGATATATTGATTAGAAAAGAAAAAACTTGCCAGGTTGCAAGGCTTCATCCGAGGAGAATGGAACTGGCTGAAAAGCGGACTTTAGAAAGTTAAATTAAAATCAAAAAAATTTCCCATAGAGGATATGCCACCGAACCCTCTATGGCTTGCGCCTTAGGCGCTCAGTTAGGAAATCGGTAAGTATTTATCCTAGATCCGCCCCTGCCTAAGGTTACGTTTACAGAATAACGGACGGATCTGTTTCGACTGGCTGAAAAACTTGACGGGACATCTCGCTCACACGGGACCATTCAATGTTTCCGCTCTGGTTCACACGGACGTGGGGCACCAGATCGAGTTTAAACTTTCTTCATTAGTTGGTTTCACTATCTGTCCCGTGTGCAGAGAGCTACTTTAGCACTAATAAAAAAAGGCATTTCCCATCTGAGTTACCACGCATCCATGCAACCACACCTTAATTTGCCGTACGGGGCAATAAGAACAACTCCACCCTCATGAAAAATAGCGGACAATAATCGGAGCGACAAGATATATTTGAAAGGAAAGGAAAGAATGACTAGTAATTAACTTCTTGGCTTACCCCACTGAAGTCGTAAGTGTTTATTGTTGAAGCAGTTGTTGTTGCTGTTAACGTTTGAGCAATTGTTGTCGTCGCTCTCGTTGTTGAAGTAGCTTGAGCGATTGTTGAAGTAGCAAAAACTGTTGTTATTGGAGCAGTTTGAGCAGTTGCTGTCGTCGCTCTTGTTGTTGTTAAAGCAGCTTGAGCGATTGTTGAACTTGGAACAACTGTTGTTTTTGGACCAGCTTGAGCAGTTGTCGTCGTCGGTCTTGTCGTTGTTAAAGCAGCTTGAGCGATTGTTGAACTTGGAACAACTGTTGTTTTTGGACCAGCTTGAGCAGTTGTTGTCGTCGCTCTTGTTGTTATTGAAGCAGCTTGAGCGATAGTTGAAGTTGGAACAACTGTTGTTGTTGTTGTTGTTGGGATAAATAGAGAACTCGCTGTTGTTTCTTGAGCTAAGGATAACCGACAAAACAAAAGTTACTTACAAAAAGAGTTCAAAAAAAGGTCGATCAGACTTTTTTCTCACCAACGGTTCTTTGGAATGGGCATGTAGTCCCATATAGGGAACCTTTATTAAAATTCATCGCCGCCACATAAGAAGTGAGTGCCGTCTTGCTGCTTCGAAAGCTGTATTGCTAGTTGGCCATCAGGTGCAGTGGTTTTGGTATTTTTTAGTCTTTATCTTTTGCGTCATTTGGTAATTTTCTTGAGATGGACCAGTTACTATTTTATTATTATCTAGGAGAACTTAGAGCTAAAGTAGCAATCATCTTAGCATGTCATCATTTCATTAGCATGTCAAATTTTCTCTCGTAATCGATCCTTGGAAAAATATGGAGCCTTGCATTAATAGCTCTAATGAAAAAGCTCCACCGTCTATTATTTTAGCCCTCTCGAAGTAGTACTTGTGATCTATTATTTTGTAGTAGATTGTGCGCTTATGATTTTCAGCATACCTTTCACCCTTTGTATGTTTAGATTTCTCAATTCAGACCACGAAATTAATTTTGCCATTCTTTTCATAAATCATACATATGCATAAGGGCGATATTTGAAAGAACCATGCATTTCTCTGGGAGTTAACGTAAAAAGTTATATTGATTTGTGTTCACATATCGCATGTTAATTTAAGATTAATTTACATCGGTCGTTTCGTACTTCAATAAATTAAAATTGTGACAAGCATCAAGGCTTTCAGCTCATATTTGAACAGTCTACAATTCCTCTAGTTTTGTTTGTGTTCAAGTATCTTCTTAAAATTACATGACAATGGAATAAGTGTTAATTTTTTGCAATTTTGTCACTCATCCCCAAGTCAGGTTTGAATACACCTTGTAAACGTAGGCTCTTTCCTTTTAAGTAATCACTAATAAACTGAAAATGACAATTAATCATACTTTCACGTTTCATATAGAATCTTTGTTCATCTGTCACAAAATCGTCAGGTTTTGCCTCCTTGGTTTTGCTGTTAAGCTCGCACACTCTGCCTGGAATGAAGTAGTTGTAGCTTGCACATCTGGGGTCGTTTTCACAGATATTTTGACATTCAAAAGGCGCTTTTACTACAAGTTCTTTAAATGTGTGACCCCTGAGAGCTTTACCAGATACTGATCTTTCAACAGGCTTGCATTGCCCTTTCGCGGCCTCATCTCCATACATCCGGGATATTAGGCAAATCGTCAACAATGCAAGGGACATCCTACTACTCTGATTCAAGAAATCACCTGCCAGACAATGAGAAAAAAACAAAACAAAACAAAGCAAAAAAACATTTCAGGTGTTGACCAGTTACACAAATTTATATTCACAAGTTCAAAGATGTCAATTCCTTTTAGTTACCTACCGTTCCACTGCATTCAAATCTACCAGTTACTAACAAAATGTCGAAATTTTCCTTATTGTAAAAATACATTACGTTAAGTCGCAATTTCGAGTCATTCCTCGCAGCTGGACCTTGTTAGCGTGAGTGACAAAATTCCGTGCATATTGGCTGGAAACTCAAGTGTTCGGATAACCACTCAGTCAAACATAGTAATTAAAACTTCCCGGCCACCTGAATTTGTCACCAATTTGGACTGAATGATGTGACGTGTAGGTTGTAGGGTCAACCTGGTAAGCATGATCCAAAATGGCAACTTACGCTGCGTTAGTTTTTAAGTCTTGGAAAGAGAATTTCTTTAGCACTACACGGAATTTGAAAGCTCAGAAAGCCATTCGTAACTACGCATATTGTTTATATTTCATTTGACTGTGTTCTTTAATTTCTGGAAGGGTAGTCCGATCCAAATTCAGATTAGTCTCAAGCACATTATGTACATGTATTTTTATAATCTTATAGTAGGCTGCGACCTGAAGTCAAGATTGCTATTTATAATGAAGGTAATTCATCCCCTGCTGACCGCGACATTTGAAGCAAACTTTATACCACTGATAGATCAAATGCAGTTTCTATTATTTTATAAATTAAAAGTTTGCTTAGGAAAATATAGTTCCTTTGCGGATGGTTTCTTCATCCGACAACCCAAGACCAAGCCAGAGTTACGCCATCTTGTTATATAAGCCGCTGGTTTTAAATTCATGAAATGGAAACATTCATACACAGGTACAGTCTTCTCAGCGGTCCGGAATTCTGATCTTTTTTTTACGTTTAGTGCTTTAGAGCCAGCTAAGCTTTTTAAGTCTCCTAAAGTAAGCTGTTGTGTCGTTGTTGTTTCCTTGTTAATATTTTGGCTTTTGATGCTTTCGTAATCTCTATGTGCCGTTTTTCAATCCTAAATAAATATACAATGATAAAACCTAATTTAATCGGTTTCTTTTTTTTGTTTTCCTTTTTTCACTGCAATCGACCCTTTCTGAACGGTATTCTGAGAAACCAAACAGATTGTTTTAACTTACCTTGCTAGGATTCTGTTTTCTTCAGTCGACTGTTAAGTAACGTACTGTTTTTGTTTTTATTATTATTTTTTTCCTGATGCTTCTAAGAGGGTCTGAATGGGGGGGTCCACTTGTTGGTTAAAATTTAGTTACTTTGTCGGTAGTCGGTTAAAATTTTCGATCTTTGTCGGTTGTCGGTTAATCTCAGTTAATAAGTAAAAATGCTTGTTAATTATTAATTTTGTTATGTGTTTCAATCAGTTTCAAGACTTTGATCCCTATAAAACATGTAAAACTTGTAAAAATGCATCATTTGATTGAACTTAAACTTCATTATGCAACATGATAGTGTATTTCACAAAAGCGTTTATTGCAAATGCGAACTTGGTTTCCCTGTTGAT